TAGTTACGTACAGTGTTTCCCCTACCATTGTCTTGGCGGGGCGCTGCGCCCTGCCAACGGAGCCCCCGCGCCCCGCGTTTGTTTTTTTAAAAACATTATTTTTTTTTTTATTAAAAAAAAATATATATATATAGCACCAAATTGCAACTGAAGTAATCTATCTACGGTCACTTTTCAAATTGAACATGTGCTCTTTTATTAAATAAACTAAGCGCCTATGTTATTTATCCAATGTATGTGCATGTTTCAGTGTCCACTGCTTTGCGTATTCACATTCTCCCTCCGCTCCCCCCCCCCCCCACACACACACACACACACACGGTGTGTGTGTGTGTGTGGGGGGGGGGGGGAGCGGAGGAAAGGAGGAGAACAACAAAGTGTAAAAAAGTCAAACAAATCTGCATTATTGCCCCGAGCTCTGCTGTCTGCCCGTTTGTGTCCCCCCCCCAGTTTCAAATTCGTTTATTATTATTTTTTAACCTCAAGCCGTTCGTTATCGATAAAAAAAAGAAATAAAAAAAAAAAAATTCAACACAACAGCTGAGGCAGCTGTCAGCTTGCCCAAGAGGCGGAGAAAACGAATATATGCCAGAGACCTGCCCCTTTCGAAGAGGGGAAGAAGCTGGAGGATGTCGTCCAGGCGCTGATCAGATGGACAGGCCCGCATAGTGACTGTGTCCAGAGCCACACCAATGAAGGTTAGGCTCTGAGAGGGGTTCAGACAACTCTTCTCCATATTCACCTTGAGGCCTAGCCGGGCGACATGAGAGAGAAGGAGAGCCGTGTCCTGGGTCGACTGCAACCGGGATGGTGCACAGATCAACCAGTCGTCTAAGTATGGCAGAATCTTCATACCCTGAGACTGCAGGGGCAAGAGGGCTGCAGCGACACACCTGGTGAACACCCTTGGGGAGAGGGAGAGTCCGAATGGGAGCACCCTGAACTGGAAATGACGGCCTCTGAAGACAAAGCAAAGAAACTGCCTGTGATGAGGCACAATAGGCACATGAAAATAAGCGTCCTTCAAGTCGACGGACGTGAACCATTCCCCCATGGCAACGGTACGAAGAACGTCTGCTGTGCTCAGCATATGGAAAGGTAAAATCTTTAGGAACTTGTTGAGTCCCCTCAGATCGAGGATTGGGAGAAGTCCACCGCCTTTCTTCCTTACCAGGAAGTAGGTCGAGTAGAAGCCCCCGGGCTGTGAGATGGGGTCCACAGGCTCGATTGCACCCTTGGCAAGGAGGACTGATAGCTCCTGGTTTAGGCGACTTCTTTTGCCGGGTCGCTTATGGTGGTTATTTTGACCCGGCTGAAGGCTGGGGGCCAGCGTCGGAACTGAAGCTTGTACCCTTGGGTTAAGGTGGAAACCACCCAGGGGTCTGAAGCTTGAGCTACCCAGTAGTTGAGCAATAACCGACAGCCGGCCCCAGACCCTCAGTACCTTGCCCCCCCGGCCTCTGGAGGCTGCCTTGGGGGCGAGTTAACAGGACCGCGCTGGTAGCGGGCCGGCCCCCTTGTGGGACGCTGAGGCCCATGGTGGGCACCGGGGTGAGCCGGTGGATGGGAGCGGCCTCGGGAGGCAGACGCGGAACCTCTAGGCCTACCGGGGGGGGGGCATGTCTCTGTGAAGAGCTGAGAACTGTTGCCTGGTCTGACTAGCTTGGACAGTCCGTTCGAGCACCTGTATGGCAGCTGAACCAAACAGCTCCCCCGGCTCCACTGGGACAGCACGGAGAGTCCTCCTACATGCCTCTGATAAGGGTGACTGTGCCAGCCAAACCTGGCGACGAGAGTGGACATCAGACGCCCAAGCTCTCTAGACATCAGAGCGAACACTTGTAATGAGGCATCACTGAGGCTGGTAGACGAAGCGCTGAAAGCATCCTGCTGCAGGGAAGCTGAGAGGGCGAGCATGAGGTGAGAGAGGGAATTGCCTATACGGCCCATGTGCGCCGCTGTATCGTAAGCTTTAGTGAGCAGGTCATCAGTGACCCGACATTGGGGTCGAGGGCACCTGGCCTCTGACCTCAGAGCTTCGTCAGGGGAAACTATGAGGGAAGCAATGGTAGGCTCAACAGCCGGCATGTGGTCAAGGCCGAATCTTGCCGCATCCTGCATGGCTGCCAGGGCTCGGCCTTAGTGTCCCTCCAGCATGCATGTAACTCCCTCAGATACTCAAAAGAGGGAGGAACGGTAAAGGTGGCGGGTGCCAGAGTGCGCCTGAAGAACGCACTGGCAGGCGCTGTTTCTGGCTGCCGTACATCCAGCTGCTGGCGAGCCAGTGCCATGCGACTGACGGCACCCATGGAGCCGTAATCTGCCCCCTCTGAGGATCCATGAGCTGAGGTACAGGAGCCAGGCCCAGAAGCATGGGATGGGCCCTCCTCGTTATACTCATTAAAATGAGTGGCTGAAGCTGCCATCGAGACCACATCGTCATCTGGAACCAGCTCAGCCATGGGTGGATTGGGTGCAGTGGCGTGCTCTGTACGGGCACCAGAATGGAGAGCCAGGAGGAGTGACTTCATCTGGGCTAGCTCAGTAGTGAGCAGGTCCACCCTGGAGGACAGCCTATCAGGCTTAGTCCTCTTCTTGGGCGGGGCACCCGAGCCTCTCCGTAACCGCCCTCAGATGCTCGAGGCCAAGACAAGAGGGGCAAAGGTCATGGCCATCCTCTGGTTGAAGAGGAGCCATACAGGTGTTACAGCCGTTAAACATAGCGACAGTACCAACGAAAACTCCAGACTAATTGCTGCTGGCAGCTTAAGTCAGTCTGAGCGAGAGCACTCAGCTGACTGTAAATAACCGGGCCAGGAAACAATATATGCAGTGCAGGGGAGTGAGCACAATAGTAGTTAGCGTGAGCGCTCTGCTAACTGGGGTGAGAAAAATGAAGTCAATTAACGGTATATATGCCGTGAGAGGAGAGCGGGATACTCTCTCCACGAGTTAGCCTGAGCGAGAGCACTCTGCTAACTGAAGGATGGAACGGTAATAAACCAAGCGGGGACACTCTCTTCACTAGCGCTGTAGCAAGTTAGCTTTGAGCGAGAGCACTCAGCTAACTGGAGGATGGAACAGGAACCAATTGTGCGCCATTAGAGGGGAGCGAAGACATTCTCTTCACTAGCGCCGTAACGAGTTAGCTTTGAGCGAGAGCACTCAGCTAACTGGAGGATGGAACAGGAACCAATTGGGTGCAGTGAGAGGGGAGCGGAGACGCTCTCTTCACTAGTGCAGTAACAAGTTAGCTTGAGCGAGAGCACTCGGCTAACTTGGACACAATTATCTATTAGCTTGAGAATAGATAGCACAATCAGCAATAAATGGCAGCGATCTCACCGACTGACGTGTAGGAGCGTCCGCTCTTTACCGGTCCGGAGCTCCTGGGAGTCCTAGCGGTGAACACCGCGGTCCCCTCCCGCAGCTCCGATCGAGACCATCACAAGGCTACAGGTAGCGATGAGCTAGAATCTAATTTTTCAATAAGCTAGCTTGGCTTCTACTCATAAAGTAGTAACCTGTGCAGCGAGAAGATGAAAAAGGACTGAACTCGTTGACAACACCGGAACTTATGCCTTCCGGGGTCATACGAGGTCACACGTGACTTTGTTGATATAAATATTCAACAGAAGATATTCAGTGCTAAGCACCGCCTCTGGCGGTCAGTAAGGATGAAATAGAACCAGATCCCTTCACATCACAGTAGGCCAGTACCAGTTTCTAGAAGTGGATTTGGGCAGCCACTAGCAGCCAGTAAAGGGAGCGGAGGAGCGGTGCATTGTGGGAGAACTCACTGCATGCTTCCCATTTCTAAACAAAAAGACACATGTCAGCCTCTGTCATAGACGTTGGTCAGCTACTGAGTCAATACAGCCTTTTACAGACTTTTACAGGATGGCTGCAACTCCAAAGTTGCCCAAGAAAAGGAAGTCCCCTTTCCCAGCATGCACACTCTCTGTCTCACTTTCTATCTGTAACACACACACACACACACACACACACACACACACACACACACACGCACACACGCACACACACACACACACACACACACACTCAGCATCATGTGCAGTCCTACGTTAGCGCTTGCCTCAGCTTTAGGTTTGGCACACCACCACTTCCTCTCACAGTTTTTTACTGTGTATATACAGTATATTTGCATACATATAAATGTATATCCTGTGGAGTGTAACATGATCTTATTGTTAACTTTCCATAACTGTAGGACTGGCTTGCTCACAACCTCCATATCCTGCATTCATGTTATTATCAGCAGGTGTGTTTATAAGTAGTTTATAAGCACAGAGAACACAGGCTAGTGAAATATATATCACATCTGTATGCATTACTGCAGATACTGTACTAGCACAAACATCCACTGAATACCACGTACCTCTCTCTTTACGCTGGCTGAAGATACTTTTTCTTAATTTAAGCATTTCCCTTTGGAAATGTGTCTTCAACTCTGCACTGCAGTCCCAGAAACATTAGATAATAAATACAATTATTTGAGAGGAATGCACTCTGAATTCAGTCTGTTTTCAGTTTGCTTTACATCACTTTTGCACTTAAATCCTGAAACTATATAGGTGAAACATACAACATTTAAACTCTGCCACCTAGTGGTGACTATCGTCACAACATTATCAGAAACTCCCTTTTAGTTGTATTAATGTATGCAATACATTCAGTCGGAGTTGATTCATCATTATTTATAGAAAGAGAATAATTCATGTCAGACTGTCTGGAGGTTGTTTGAGCCCTGTGATGAAATTCTTGCCTTTTCATCATTCTCATTTCCTAATTCTTAACCACAGTCTTGAAACCTGTTGCCTCCTTCTTCTTTCTCTTTCATCAAATACTTTTGGTTTGGTCATTACTTTCACGTGTAAAACTCTCTTCTTGTAGCAAATGTTGAATACAAATGAATGGAATCTCTGTGGATGTACAGGGTTTAATTTCTGTTTTCTTTTCCTGTTGGTCTCTCTGTGTAGTGCCCAGGCAGAAGGGGATGTGAAGGAGGAGATACTGCAGCCGCCTGAGCCTCACCCCGTCCCCCCCATCCTGACCCCGTCTCCCCCGTCAGCCTTCCCCACCGTCACAAACGTACGGCAGGACAACGACCGCTACCACCCCAAACCTGTCATCCACGTCCTGGCTACACAGGTGAGTCCAGCTTTACAGAAACGTACACAGTTGCTGGTCATTTTTTTATTTTACAAATATCAAATAAGACAAAAACTAACCCTAAACACTAACTCCCTTTCAGACCTGCCCCCCCCCCCCCCCCCCCCCCCCCCCCCCCCCAACACAGAGACGACTTCTGTTGTTTTCTAGGTGGTGCTGCATTTGGAAAAGGTGCTTCAATGTTTCCTTTTCTTTTCCTTTCAGAATAAAGACGCCGACCAGCAGCAGAACAAATCTGAGCCCAGTCTAAACAAGCAGAGCAGTCCCTCAGAGCAGAAAGACCAAAATCTACAAAGTGGAAAACAGCCGACTCAGGTCTCAAATCTAGATCTCAACGACAACTATAACAACAAATCAACATCCAGTAAATCGGACTCGGGCCAGAGCCAGACGCAGACCCCCTCCTCGCCGCTCTCCCCGGCTGTTTTAGAATGTTCCGGCGTTCCTCGGATCGAGAGGAAGCTGAGCATTGAGATTAAAAAGGTGCCGTTACAGGAAGGACCTCGTAGTTTTGACACTTCCTCCTCCATGGGGGTAGCAGGCGGAGCGGGCAGCGGCTCAGCCAATAACGCAGGAGCGCTGCAGAGAAGCCACGCCTTCAAAGCCCGCTCTGGCCAATCCCTGCTCACGTCTAGCTCTTCGCTGTCGGAGGACTCGGGCACGGAGGGAGGAGCGGGTGGGTGTGGGGACGGTCCTGCAGAGGGGGGGGTCCTCACCAGACCAAACCACCTCCCTGTGAAGAGCGAGAAGGGGGAGACACTCGGGGGGGAGAAACTGGACGTGAAGGGTGGCCATGCAGCGTGGAGTCAGGCCTGCAACAGTCCTGACAAACACTTCCCCAAAACCTCCTCCTCGTCTTCCTCCTCAGACCGCGCCGCTCCCTCCTCCTCCTCCTCCTCCCACCTCTCCTCCTCCTCTTCCTCCTCCTCCTCCACTCCTGTTAGGACTGCCCTGAGCTTCACCAACCCCCTGCACTCGGATAACTCGGACGAGGAGGGGGACAGCGAGATGTCCGGAGGAAACGAGGGTTACCGTACTAATGTATCCATGGCAACAGCCGTGGTAACAGCATCCCCTCACCATGGAGACCAGCTGCCGGTCCGGAAGGTGTCGTCCATGTCCATCGCAGGGCAGGGGTCTCCGTCAGCCACAGCAAGTATGTCAGTCTGCTGCTTTGATTGAATGACTCTGACTCTAACTAACTGGCTGCTTCCTCTCACAGCATCCACTAACAACTGTACAGGAAGTCAGTTAAATAGGAATCTGAATGAACTCAATCATAATAAATCAATCCTATTAAGGCCTAGTCCACTCGTACACAGGTATTTTTGTACATTGGGTTTCATCCTCCTTAGCTCTAAGAAACTAAATCCTATCTATGCACATGCATACACACACAACCCCAAACATGTCTGCAGCAGTGTCTGATTCATGGGAGTGTTGGATAATGGGAGCTCCACAACACATTCTGACCCCTCTGTCCCTCAACATAGGGAAACAGTAACTTTACATTCATCTGTGAACATGGAAGTAAAGTCATTTGGATACTTCTGCAATTATAGATGTATTTCTGCCGCCACTGCATTCTCTAAAAGGAGTCAACGGCGCTTAAACAAGCCAAACACTCCCTCTCTACATGTCAGTTTCTAAATGGTTCACCCTAACAAGAGTTTTACAAAATCACCATTTTCATGGACCCAAAATGCTGTGTTATTGTGGAGGAAAGGCCTAAATGCATAGAAAAAAGCTTGGTTAACATAAATCCCAGTGTACGTGTGGAGGAAGTTTTTGACATCAGTTTGTTGGTAAATCAGTTCTGAGGAGTCTATTTAAAGGGGAATACCTCCTTAAATAAAAAAATAAACAATATCCTATTTAATACAATTGGAGCATGAGCTACTAGCTAAAACCAGACATTATCACCAAGGACATTCACCCATATAGTCAGTTTCAAAATCTTTCCCGATAGTTTATTAAGCAGTTTCAGCCTTATTCTACATGACATATTTCAGTATTTGGATTTGGAAGAGAGTTTACTAATATTTCTGTATTGAATTTGAGCATAGGAACAACCTGTGGGCATTTTCAAATGGGTGTACTTCCCATTAAGTTCTACGGACTCTATCTCTGGTAAAAAAAACTGAGAGTAGCTCTTTATTCTCCTCGCACACATTCGCTCAGAGGAACCACACGCTACATGTTCTGGGTTACACAACAGACCACATGCTAATTAATAACCTGTATCTGTCAACACACACCACTGTCCTCACTGCTGGGCTCAGACGGAGGCGAGATGGAAAGAAGTCACAAGAGAAACCGAGATAGTTCTACTGAGCTCGTCTCAGTGGCTGTATAACTAATTGGTCGGTTTGTGAGGAATGCTGCAAATGTTAACAGGCAAACATCTGTCAAAACAACTCTCCTCTTCCTCTCTCAGCTTGTGTGTGTTTGTCTAAGTGAGTGGGATTGCAAACGGGAGAAAGAAACCCTGTTTTTGTTTCAGTGTGTGTGTGCATGTTGGATGGTGAAGGATCAACACTGCATGATTGGGATGAATACACAGCGGCCAACTGTGCTCACTTTGTGTTGAACAGAGCTGTGACCCTCTGTGAGGCTCCTGTCATCATCAGACCTGAGCTGGGTTTCTCTTCTGGAGCCAAAGACCCGCTCCTCTTCTCTGAGGATTTCAAAATCATGAGGTTTTGAAATCTGATTTTCGCTGCGATTGGAGCTGACTTGGAATGTTTTGAAGTGGCTTGGAAATGGTTTTGTTCTTGAATTGATTCAAAGCTTGATGAATTAAGACTCAACTGCATACTTACATATTTGGATTCACTGTTCGGGTGCATGATGTCCATCTATCAATAAATCAGTTAAAAAGATAATAAAAATGGTGTGGAATAAGTCGATTAGCCATAGGTTTTGAAAGGGTTTAAAATAGTTCATAGATGTTTTCCAGGATGAGTGATAAAAGTTTAATGATCCGACTTGTGCCAGATATTTTAGAAAACATAGCCTTTTAGTAGTTTAAGAACATAGATAACACTCTATCAGACCATAGTAATTATACAAACCTAAACAAATCTTGATACGAAATTTTAAAGAAAATGAATGTACCCAAGGTGCTTACTGTGATGTTGAAGAAAGTATTAATGTGCACAGACAGAGCACAAATAACACGTTTTTATTTTAAATTGGATCCTTCTTGTTTCAGGAACTAAAGAGAAAATATAAATACATATATTCATTTATACTAGACAGCCATAACACACACTTTGAGGAACTATTCTTCCAAAAACAAAATGATGCTTTCTAATAATATCAAATACAATTCTAATGTTGTGGAAGCCATTTAAATGTCTCATACATCATGCCCTCCTGAAGTATTTCCAGTATGTAGGATAACTGCAGAGGTTCTCCTGGTCCTGGATGGACTACTTGTGTTTTGGTGTGCTTGGCTTCTGGCACTGTGTGTGTGTGGGCTGTGGTGCTTTGAGTCGGTGTGAGGCTCTGATGGCTGCTGTCCGCTCGGTCACAATCTAACTGCTGTTAGAGAGGGCTGAGAGCTTGCTGCTGCTGCTGTTGGTTAAGGACACAAAGCTGGTGGCTGCTGGTTGAATCATCAATTAACCAACCAAACTGTACAAAAACATTTGATAAAAGGTGTTTACAGTTCAAAGAAGAAATACAATCAGTTAAAAACAGGGGAAACAATGCGTGTAAAGTTAGAATTAAATATATAAAAACATACAGTCAATGTAGACAATAAATTATTCTTAAACCTGCCAATCGAAATCTTTGCTTTGCTATCGGTATATGTGATATTTCCTTAATTAGTATTCAATTATTATCTGGACAAATAAACATGCTAGTTCCACTTTTCTCATATTGATTAAACTTGCTCAAATGATTCAGTCTCATGATTTAAAGTCACACCTAAAGCAGCTGTCCCTCCTGAGGGAGCAGACTCACTGACCATCAGAGGTGAACGGCCCTGAGACATGTGGCTCTCTCTCTGATGCTTTGTTATTGCATGGTGAACAGCACTTCAGTGAGATCAGGAGCAACAGAATCATTTGGCTCTGGCTCTAATAACTTATAGTGACATCAACCTGCTGTACACACTCGTAACCTTTCCAGAAATCAGCCTGGATTAGCTTTTCTTATTTTTACTTGTACATGTATAATGACAATAAATGTTTCTAATCTAATACATCCTAATATTAAAGATGGGGTAGGTAATTTTGGAGAAACCAGCTCGAGATCGCTAGAATTTGAAAATACACGACCGGAGAAAATCTGCCACTTCCTTACAGAGCCCCGCCTCCAACACACACGAACGCGCACATGACCAATGAGGGCATGAGATAAGTTTGTGCACAGATGGAAGGCTGACAGGCAGGTAGGCCATCCAGTTATTTTAGCCGGGCCGGCTAAAATGATTGGTCGTGCTTTTTACAGTACTACGGCTTCCACAGATGACATTTTTTTATGGATTTTTTGTCAAAGCACTTAAGATATTCATTGCTATCGGGATGTTAAGAGCATTCCATGGAATATAACAAAAAGTGTATCTCGAGCCGGTTTCTCAAACTTACCCCACCTTTAAGTCATTTTAAATCACAGTATATTACAATAGAAAGAAATGGGAAAATATCAGTCCATATTTCTTTCTTTATTAGGACCCCCATTAGCACTAGCATTAGCATTGGCTGTTCATATTGGGGTTCACATACATACAGTCAAACATAAGCAAATCAACATCTCATTAAATGAACAATCACGTGAAAATCAAAAAGAAAATCCTTATGAACATCAATAAGAAAACACAAAAAGAACAAAATGATCTATAGTTATATTGTCTATAAATAAAGTTTAAAATTGGCCCAGAAAGGTGACTCATCATATTTCAAACTGCTTTTAGAAGTCCCGCTATCTTTAGAGAAAGATTTGAGAAACGCTCTTGCCTCCCTCCTCGGAGCCCGTTCATTAACTTTGCTTCTCATCTGACCTCTGACCTTTTAACCCAGACTGCTGGGACAGCGACGACTCCCCTCCCCCCCTCCCTGCGAGAACCCCTGAGTCCTTCCTGCTGGCCACAGGTGCGTTTGCATTGGTCGAGATCCACAGGTGTGTTTCCAGGGCGGGGGGGGGGGGGTCCCCTCCTGGATCTGGTGATTTAATGGCTGGTCAAAGAAGGTGGATGGACCAATGAACATGAGGCAAACGAATGACTTTGTGGTGTGAGTGAAACATCAGCAGAGGATGTTTGATACAGTTGGAAAAGTAGGAATATGATTTGATATTCCCATTCTATCTGCTTTTCTTATCTGGTACAGCGATTGAGCAGGCTCTCTGTAATGCTGCCTTCTAACGGACAGATGGACACACATGTTCTGTTCTTTTTTTGTATTCCTCCATGTTGCCTTCTGCTGTTTGATTTGTTCCTGTGTAGTACTCTGAGAGTATACATAAGAGCGCATGAGAGGAAATGGTTCATTTATTTGGTGAGAGGCTGTGAGAGTGTTACACCACTAGGGGGCAGCATTGGCAGTAGTTCAGACCTGTAGTGACTTGGAGAGAGAATATAATCAGTCCTAAACTACAAACAGGAAACCAAGTATGCTTCATTTTTTGTGAGTGTGTGCCTTATCTCCCACAATGCAATGCTCACGGCAGGAGAAAAAGTTGTGGCAACTATAAAATATTTTTGAAATATTTGTACCTGTTTTGTCATTGCTAGTGACAACCAATGACTTTTTGTATAATTTCCTGTTACAATGATCATAAAGCATTGGACAGAATCATTCCTATTATATATAACAATATATATATATATTGTTATGTTGTTTAAAGCATCTGCTCCAAGTGATCACTACCTATTTGGGTATTTTTGAATAAGATATATGAATAAATGAGTTGTCAGTATCTGCAGTTTATGATAAAGGAAAGGATCTGATCTGAGGGTTTGAATGTGTAGGAATGTGTGTCGAAGTGTGTCATTTTTTATCCGTTGTCTCTTGTTAACATCCCTCCTTCTCCGCCCCCCCCCCCCCTGTCAGACCCCCTGGAGGTGAAGTCGTCAGCCTCGGCAGAGTGGAGCGGTTCAAATAAAGGTACGAACACACGTCTGTTTGTCCTGAGGGTTGTTCAGCACTCGCAGGATTTATTCAGAGCCGCAGACAGAGCTTCAGTGTTTTACAAATGACCGCGCAGACGATGGGACTGACTGCTGAGAGCAGACACAACGAGACAGAGAGAGATACAGGAGGACGGGGGGGGGGGGGGGGAGAGAAGCAGTGAAATGCAAAATGTGTGGGTGCTGATGAGGTTGAGTGAGGATGGTTACTGCCAATGTAATGCTACAGTCGTTTCAGCGAAGGGAAATGACTGTTGGACTCTTGTTATAATGATCATTTACTAGCAATGAATATAACTGAACATTTCTAAAGAATATAGGCTTCTCATTCTAATATCTACCCTTTAAATGTCAAGAAGAAGTTTCCTGTCAGAGCAAATGTGTTATCAGTGTGATAAAATCACAGTAAAGTTCATATTCTCTACATGTGCTGATTTGGAGCTGAAGGTGTGGTGCTGCTCCTGTGAGGCCCTACGTGTGTGAAAGCATCCATCATAACATACAGAGATATCAAGCCTAATTATTCTATTCACTGTGTGAAGACAACTAGTTCGATCTAGCTTTCAGTGATTCCAGTACAAACTACTTCAACCTTATTCGTCACAATAAAATAGAAATAATACTATGTTTGTAATTATTATAACAAATTCAGGTGTCTCTCAGTAAAACCGATGCAGTGTAAATGTGTCTTAAACCACTCAAACTATTAGACAACACACCCGCAAGTGATACTTCACTTACAGATACAGATCAATTGATTATTATAATTTGTTTACCAATTATTTACAATACGTTACCTTTTCCTTGCACGCCTCCATGGCGAGTTTTAGAATAGGGGTCAGCAGAACTATATCAAAACATCCTCTTCCAAAAACATTAGTATTTATAACAAATCTGCATAAAGAGTACTTACATGGAAGAGTATAAGAAGAGTTTATAGAAATAGTTAAATTATGGTTAAAGCTGCACCTATTTACCCCAATTCATCAGGATTGGATTGACCAATCAGGCATGGCGAGCAAAAAAAGGTTACACATGCGGCTTTCACACCAGCGCTTTTCCCTTTCTAGCTCCTAGCTAGAGCTTTTCTGGTTCAGCTCCGGTTTCCCTTTTCAGCTCCCGCTCTGTTCACACTGCCCAGAGCTGCCGCTGCTGCGTCATGACGTCACAGTTTACGTCGCTGATTTTCTCCCACAACAACAACGGGCCGGGGACTGCGTCGGGTCGATGATCGTGTTGCTTTTAATCATACGAAGCCAGATTAAATTAAATAACGACTTCTCCAACCTTATACTTTTCTCCAGAGTGCCGTGGTTCATTGTTTATTAATGTGTTTCAGCGGCATTTACCGACCGCTGCAGTGCTGGCTGCACTTCCACGGGAGTTTATTCTCCCGTTAGCTCCGGGTTAGCTCACACGGCTCTAAAGTATTCACTGTCTGACTGTCACACAAGCAGCTGATACATATCCCCAGTTCCCCTTAAGTGAATGTGTGTCAGTCTGAATTGACGCTGTTTGGCATCACAACGCTGTTATGAAAGTTTCTCTGGTATAACATGGGTGATGTTAGCATAGCAACCGAAGCTAAACTGACTACTTGCTAAGCCGTTTTCTACAGGCACATTTTACCGGCGTATTTTTCATTATGATTCTACTTGTGATAGTCGGACATGACAACCTGTGCAGCCCATGTATTAATTCCATCCGATAGCTGCTATAATAACAAACAAAACGTCTGCCTGCTCTCCACAATGATCAATAACAGCGAACGGATGGTCAAAGTAAGGTTTCCTGCACGCCTCGACGTAAGAGACGCCGCGTCATAGCTCCGAAGCTCTTGCCTCTGGACCGACAATTTTTTGGAGCTGGAAGTGAACCGCATTCCGGAGCTATGACGCGCCGCCGCTGCAGTGTGAACAGGAAAAACCGGCGCTTTTCCAGCTCCAGCTCCGAGCAGGAGCTGGAAAAGCGCCGGTGTGAAAGGGGCATAATTAATGTACAAATGATCTTTTTTATGCCTGAAATATTCCTTTCAAAATCATCTGATGTCCACACAGCGCCTCCACCCATTCATCTGTGTGTGTGTGTGTTTGTGTGCAGATGTGTCAGAGTGTGTTAAGAAGACCTCTCCAGCTGACCCCACATCTACTGGCACCACGGCAACAGACAGCAAGGCAGAGCTGGGTGGGTAAGTCTGCTGTCTCTCGGTCACTGGTCAGCTTTCTACTACTAACACAGTTTATCAAAATGACATCATGTGTTCTATGTGTGTGCTGATGGTAAACGTAGCTCTGGGCAGCATGTGCAGAAAACACAAGACATTCTCCTCCGGGGGAAGACACTTTCTGTTTTGTGTTTTGTCTCCGTGAAAAGCAAACCCTCATTTATTTTCCATCTTCTCTCAGGGTTCGGTAACCGCTGCATTCAGCCCAAAGGCCCTCGGGAACCCCCCCTGGAGTGGACATGATGGAACGACCCATCCCCCCGTCCACCTACAGTGTCCTCCCCCGTCAGGAGATGGACTCTACCGATCTCACCTGGCTGGTCCAAAACCCTAGTTAATAGATGCTACAGACAGAGGGCACGCTTTACATAGAAGCACCTTCTCTGTGCTCCTCATCCTCATCTTCCTCCTCCTCCTCCTCCTCCTCCTCCTCCTCCTCCTCCTCAGTCCTTCCTCAAAGTGCCACTGTGCAAAGCAGAAGAACACTCACTGGTCAAGTGTCCACGTTTTCCTGTTCAGCTTGCTGATGTTAGAAGTTTTCCCCGCTCTAGATGCTGACCTGAGATCTGTCTTGTTATTCTCCTGTTCATGGTTAAAGAACAACTCCTGTTTTCCCCTGTTTTTGGTGGATTGAGAATAGATTTTTTTAAAGCGTCTTGTTGTGTCCCTCGCTTCGATTGCATCATAAGAAATGTCCGGGGCTAAATAACGAGGGATGTAAGTGTTACCCTAACATGTTAAATGGAACATTTCTTTCACGCCAAATGAGGGGAAAAGTATGATTGTTCATCCTCAATCAGGACTGATCTTTAATCAGAGAAGTGTGGGAGCTGACTGAGGTTGAACTGAACTCCCTGAAGGGTCTGCTTCCTCCTACTGAATGAACAACAATCTTCAAAGCGAACCGAGATAATCTGTTACCCACGATGCAACCTTTTCTGTTGGGTATGCACAGGTTGCCGGGGTTCTCTCGCTCTCTCCCTCTCTCCCACTTTCTGTGTGCTGGTGCTACATTATAAAAGATCAGCATAGAAACAGAGCACCCATGCCCCCCCCCCCCCCCCCCCCCCCATCAGGGTTTCTGGGCGGGTTTATTCCTGTGTTAGCTGCAGTATTTCATATTTCTATGCTGACCTCCCTTTTCCCCAGAGTCATAGGTTGATGTAGTTCGGTCATTGCAGTTGTCAGTAACAGCCGAATTAAAGGAATTGTTCTTCATTTTTAGGAAAAATAATAATTTTTTACTGATGCAAAGTTTACACCATTATTTCTCTGCATTTGTACACAGAGGCTGTTAGCTTAGCTTAGCATAAAGACTAGACACCCGAAGATATGTTTTCCCCTTCTAGAGCCTGGCAAGCTTTTTATCCAGCGTTTATGCAAGCTAAGCTAACCAGCTGCTATCTGTAGCTTGAGATATGAGAGTGGAATCAAACTTCTCCTCTAACTCTGTGCAAGAAAGTAAGCAGTTGCAGTTTCCAAATTGTCGAACTGTTCCTTTAAATATCTGCTTACTCTGTATTTGTCATGTGGCGATGGAAAACAAATCTTAAAGGAGAGGTGTCATGCTTTTCCGGTTATTACCCGTCCCCTTGTGTGTTATGAAGGTTTTTATGCATGTAAACGGTGTGCAGAGTCAAAACCCTCAAAGTACACCCTGTAGCGAGTAAAACTCTAACACAGAAAATACCTCCCCAAAACGCCTCGTTGGAGATACGTCATTGTCCATTTGATTCTTCCGGGTACGGGATGATGTAATCCCGTACCCGGAACGAAATGGACCAATCCGTGGAGCCGTTACGTTACGTCGGCGGAGCCGTTACGTTAAGCCCCCGCTGATTGGTCCAAATTGACCAATCCACGGACTTCCTCACACACAGGCAGCTCTGCTGATTTCTCCTCCCTGGCTGCAGGCTGATAACAGACAGTTGGGATCGCGCGAAATTCTCTCTGCAGACCCATTCTCACAGCGTTTATCAACCTTTTTCTTACTCAATATCAAGCCACACTTATTGTTTTTACTTTGGCTGTGAGTTTGTGTGTGCTCAGGATGAGTTTGGCTGTGTTTCGCTGAGTATCCCTAACAAGGAAACAACACCTCCACGGAGCTCAGCGCGATTCACAACGTCCCGACCAATCAGAGCACACTGTGCTCACAGGGAGGGTGGGGGCTGGAGCTATTGGAGCTACAACGAGCCGTTAAAGGCAGAGAGTGAAATTCAGTGAATACACGTAGTTTACAGAGATGCTGTATGAGAAACCAATGTGAGTTTGGAAAAATGCACAATATAAATCTATTCTAGTATACCTCAACAATGGAATTATGATCAGTGGAAATGGCCATGACACCTCTCCTTTAACTCTTAAATACTGACAATAAAAGTAGTTCTGTAACAAGTGATCCGTTACACGTCTATGCTTGAAATGACAAAACCAAAGTGTGATGTCCCCTTCTCAAAGAATTCACAATAAAAAAGCAAAGACTAGTTAGTATGAAAAACACCGACATGTATCCTAAAATATTTAACACTAAATCCGGCCCAGGAATTCTGCTTTCTCCAGTCACTAAGGGGTCAAAGTGACCTGAAATCGATCAGTAATGACCGAACTGCTCAGCTGTGTGACTCTGTCCTCACTGCTGGGACGTGAGCCTGCCTTAGCCTCTCAGAGACAGTCCTTCCTCCTTTGGCTTCTCTATAAACTTCATTTCCTGGGACACAATTCACTGTTTTTTTCCCTCAGCACTGTCTTGTTTTTCTGCTGTTACCTTTTTTGATCTCATTCTCCTTCTAATATTGGGTGGTCAAAGGTTTTATTTTATTTTAGCAGCCATATTACTTACAGTAAACCTCAGTGTTTCAGAGTACACATCACCCTTTGCTCTTATGGGACTCGACAGATTCATGTAAAGTCTGATTTCCCATAGCAAACTCTTACAGACTTGAATGTTTTTTCAAATAAAAAAATCGTACCTGCTTCGATATGTGTGAGACAATGATAGGGACCCAGGACTACTGCTTACTGTTCTCTGCTAACTCCATTAGCTCCCATAACTATACATTATATGCATTGTTTTATAAAGAAAAAAAGCTGTACAGGGCAGTTTAGGTATATAATATTTCAGATTTTTTTGTTATCTCTTAAATATTCTTATTAACAGAAGATGTAAAAAAGTCAGTGCATGATGATGATGATGATGATGATTCCTCCCCTACAGTGTTTCCCTTCAGACTGTAAATTATTCTGCTGCCCTTGTTGTTTATTTTTGCTCCTGACAAATATTTCAGGGTTGTTTTTATTTGTACTGTTGAAGTGACATGCTTAAAAAGATTTTGGTTTTAGATGGTTGGCAGAGGAAAAGCATTGCCTGCCAGCCAGCCAGCCCCCCCCCCCCCCCTCCTCCTCAAACAGCTACAACGGGCTTCGATTAAGATTGTAATAATAATATTAATGATGATGATAATAATAATAGCGGTTGTTTTTTGTAAATGGTATTTTAAAAGTTATTTTTGTATACGCGGTTGTTTGTTGTCCACTGCTCCCCCTCCTCTCTTCTCACACTCCCCTCCTTCTTTTGTACCCATGTCTTTTATCTCTCTCAGCTCTTTGAATGTAGAACATGCATCAGAGATGGATCTCAAACTCTGAACAAGGAGCAGCTCATTATTTTTCTTTCATACTTCCCCTGCTGTGTTCTCTCCTTTATTCCCCTCCCACCCTCGTCTCTGCCTTTTTTACATTTTTAAAAGGATGTCTTTTTCAACACGCCAGAAGATCAGTTAATTTAAGTAATGCGACTTGCTTTCAGTGGTTCAAAGTGCCAGTAAGCTGAATTATGACGTGTTGAGAAAGAAAACCTTTTAAAACAACTTTGTTTCTCTCTTTTATCCTCCCACCTGACCCCGTCACATGCACATTATCTCAGAAAAGAGCCCACCTGTGCCTTTAAGAGAGAGCCCGCCCTCCCCTTCTCCCCTCTCCTCCAATCATCATTAGCGCCGTGAGTGTGAGCGATTTGATTCGCTGCTGCTTGCTCATCGCCTCCTGTGGGACTGTTCAGCCCCACACACACTTTGTGACCCTCCTTACACACACATAAACACACAGCCCCAAAATGTTTGTATGTTGCAGAAATCAATCAGTAAAGATGACCATTAAGTGAAGACACGCCTCTTTGGTTTTATTTGTGTGAGATGATGCAACAAAAAATGTGTTGTGTGAGTGGAAATACAGACAGCTTTTATTTACAAGTTTATAAAGCACATTTCAGCAACAAGGTAATAGGAAGTGCTATACACAAAACATTAAATAGTTAGAATACAGTTAAAAGCAGAGCCAAGTCAATAGAAATAAAAAAACTAACATAGCAGCAAACACAAGTTAATTTTGACTAGAATTTAAATATTGTTATTGTATTTATTTAGCTAGTAGTTTTGCATATATAATCTGATCATATCAATGTTTGTGTGTGTGTGTAAAAGGGCTTTCACAGCATGAAATCCTCTATCACAGCTGGAAATTCTGCAGAGACAAATGTATACTACACACACACACACACACACACACACACACACACACCCACAGTGATACACTGATTAATTAGTCCCAGCAGGTGTTAAAAACACAGGCGCTAACTGTCTTACACAGAGACACTGTAGGCTGCACATTTGTATTCACTTTAGAGGCACAGCAGGTAGGAAGATACTGGGATTATTTACTTCTGCTCACATGCTCATTTGAGATTAATTATACAGTTAATTACCATACAATATTTAAGGTATAATGGTGCGCAGAGCAGGTTTGTGTCTGTCCTCTCACGCGTTACAGCAATGACATCTACAAAAAACTTGTTGGGGTCCTACAATGCTCATGTTCAGGTTCATATCCGTATTTAGTGTCTCTACAGGGACATGTCTGCATGCTTTAATGTTCAAAAAGCTCTTTATTCTTCTCATACTGCCTGTGCTGCAGCACCTCTTTTCACCCTCTGTCTGAAACCAGAGCCCAGTCTGCTCTGATTGGTTAGCTGGCCGGCTCTGTTGTGATTGGTCAACCGCTTATATATGTCCCACCCCTTAGCCTATCATGTACAATGTGTTGGAGAGCTAGCCAATAGAAGTGTGAGTGTTACATAGTGATGTCACTATGTTCAGGAAGTAAAAAGGAGTCCAATTAAGCCTTTTTAGGCAGGATGTATATCAATGCATACAAGATATACACGTCCTAGAAACATCACTTGATGGAAGCATCCAACATGTTTCAAATCTAGAAAAATACAGATACAGCACACTATCAGACCAAAACTAATGCAGCTAAAGACAATTAAATACTTTTTATCCATCCATGTATTCCACAGGCCTAACACCACTCCTGCTAACTTTCTCTCCTTTACTTTACTACTTTTTTGTGACTTACACACCTGGTGATCGATGTGTTGAATACACAGTCTGACTGACACACACACACACACACACACACACACACACACACACACACACACACACACACACACACACACACTTTCCCTATCTGCCTGTTGTATGCATTAAGCCAGATTGCCATCTTAACTGGGTCACCTCAGTGTTCCCATGGAGCAGTTTAACATGTTGTGTAATTACTTATAAATATAGCCGTTCAGTGTGTGAGCAGGAGCAGCAGGCTGCACCATCTGAAGGAACTGACAAGCGTGTCAGCTCTGTTTAAAACCTAGAATAAACATTATAATGCATCCTATTTTTAGGTATATGAGTCATATACAGTAGATGCTGGTAGAAATTGATACACACACACATGCACACGCACACACACACACACACACACACACACCCTTCTGCCTTGCACCATACAGTAATCTTGTCACAAGATTTAACTTTACAACTGCTTCTAATCATGTTTAGTATTCACAGTTTGCTGTCACTTTAATCAGTCTGAGTGTAGAATCGTTTTTAAATGCAGATAAATCTGTATAATGACGAGTGAGTGATTAACTCATTACGTTTTGAAGATTAGATGAAAAAGTTCTCTACAGGCACTTTCAGTCAGTTGTGACAAATATGTAAAAACACTTACACAATACTTGGTTGGTAAATAACGCTTACAATATAATATTAATCACAAGTGTTATTTTAATGTTTTTATTATGTAACCTTTATTTTAGAAGAAGGTCCCACCAAAAATATCTTACACCATAGAGTGGCCAAGATAGCTTAGTACAAAATTATAACATAAACAACATGACGTACAAAACTTCACAATAATTCCGAAGAACAGCTGTTTAATTGCATGCCTCCTTTAACACATTTGTTATGATTCCCTTAAATGTATCAGTGGATATAACAGTTTTCTCCAGATATTTAAAGACATTAAAGCAACCACTTGGAGGAGTGTAGTTGGTAGCTACCAGAGGAAGTTATATTTCTCATAATGCTTGTTGGTGTTGATGTTCACTTTAATTGAGGTCTTGCTCCTGATTATTTTCAGAGAACACATTAAAGGTAAGCTCCGCCTTTAGTTTTTCCCTCTCTGTCTGTCAGTCAAGCTTAGTCCCGCCCCTCGCTGACCACCTGTCCATCAAACTCTGCCCCGCCCCTTCACTGCCTGCCTGCACGTCGCGCAAAAAAAAACAGCAGCGGCGGCCGTTGGGGAAGAGAGTAAATAGAGAGAGAAGCCTCAAGATGGCTGACTCGCTGTGCTCCGCTTACCTCACCGGAGCTGCTACTGCGGTAGCCCCGGCGGTCGCCTCCGCCAAAAGCCCGCTGGTCAAGCCGACCGAGGCAAAGGGAGCCCCTGACAACCGCCTTCAGTCTTCCCGGGATTTCAACCCGCCGCTGCCCAAGAAGGTCCGACTGGAGGAGAGGAGCGTTAAACCCAAGAAACTCAGCCGGGAAGCAGGAGTGGGAGGCAACGGCAGAGAGAAACTCCAGCAGCCCAATAAGCAGCAGATTTATGGGGCGGGCTTGTGGAGCTTCAGCCCGGTTAAGACGAGTAGCAACAACCCTTCGGTGCCTGCTACCAGTGGGCACCAGCCACCGACAAACACGCAGAAAGTCTTTAAACAGAGCGACTTCTTCCTCCACAAAGCGCCTTCCTCCTCCAAACACAAAAACCCCAGTAAAGATAAACAGCGCGAGAAAGAGAGGGAGAAGGGGGCAGGAGGCGGAGAGGAGAAGAAGAGAACTAAAGTACTGGTGACCTCCGGACCCGGGGATAATGTTAATAACAACAACAACGAAATCAGCAGAATTAACACCACTTCTGCAGTGAAACGAGAAAATGGGGAGGTCATGTTGGCACCCAAAGGTAGGCCAGCAGTGTATTTTTTTAATTATATTTGAAAGGAATTCATAAAGTTGTGATTATTATATGTAGGGTTGATCTGTGGTGCTTTGTAGTTACTTGGCTCATCGTAGAATCATCCACTTGGGGCATTAACATGTGGCTCTGAGAGTGCGGTTGTCTGCCTCATAATTTGTCCCGTTTTTGGATAAGCTAAAGCTCCTAAATGTTGTCTATGGACCCGTAACATTCTCAACGGTTTCTCTAAATTATAAATGCATATTATAAAACAGGTTTACATGGAGTTGGGCGTGTATAAAGCCCAGTTTAGTCGGTGTTTCTGCGGGACATGGCTGCCAGCTCTCGTCGCTTGTTCACCCGCTCGTGAACCTTCGAGCTCCACAACAGCGTTCCATGGCAGTAGTCGCGCGACCGGGCTGTTACATCGCAACCAGCTGCTCTCGTGCTGCAGAGCAATTGTTACCTTGTTACGTCATATATTGTCGAAAAATATGTATACTGTTTTATTATTATGGTAATGTGGTCGAGTAAGCTGTTATAAACGGCGTACAAAAACTATAATCCGTCATGTCAGCGTAACAATTTAGTAAATTGTTATTCTGTAATATCAATGCGCTTATATATTTGTATTACCTAAGGAGTAGTGTGTGTGCACTAAACTGCACGCTGCTGTCATAACAATATGACAGTCGCCCGCCATTATGGGGTAAGTGTTGTTTTTGTATAGCACCACGCCCCCCTCGGTAACCTCAGGCTGGAAGCATAGCTCCTCGCTTGTTGTTGCTGTCGAGTGAGGCTGTTACTCCATGTTCTACACGCAGATCATGGTGTAGGCTGTTCATTGATCCACACCTACATCAATTTGTTTTACAATTGAACAACCTTTATTATTTCACTTGAGTCATTACACTTGGATACGATTGACACTAGCAATTATCAATCAATCAACCAATGTTTATTTATATAGCCCAATATCACAAATGTTACATTTGTCTCAGTGGACTTCACAGTTTGTACAGCATATCAGTATGACAATACGACACCCTCTGTCCTTAGACCCTCACATCTTACAAGGAAACACTTCCAAAGAAAAACCCCTTAGTTTAAAGGGGGAAAATGGGAGAAACCTCAGGGAGAGCAACAGAGGAGGGACCCCTCTCCCAGGACGGACAGACGTGCAATAGATGCCGTGTGTAAATCGAAGAGATAATACATTTACAGAATAGGTAGACGAAATGCATGTGTCTATAATAAGAAGATGAATCCACGAGGATGTCAACAATCCTGTGGGAGCCATCAGGGAAGTAGTATGATGAGAGTCAGGCAGGACCACAATTATGAGCTGTTGCGTCAGAAGGAAAACAATATAAATATTTTAGCTCGGGTACAATTGTCAGTGAAATAGCCTAAATGGCAAGACAACAATAATCACAACAAAAAACAAACAGTTGGTAACAAATTACAATATTATGATATCTTAAATACAATATCGTAAATTGTCCAACTACTTATTTATTTTTAAACATATTTTTTGCAAAATATCTAGGCTATGTTTCTTTTTACATGTTGAAATATGCTAATGACTGATTATGTCACAGCGCTGAAGCTACTACTTTATGTTTAATCACTGTAGACCTTGTGTTTTGGTGCGTGTTTTCTCATCGTCACACAGTGTCTCAACTCTGCATGTGTGTGTGTGTGTTTAGACACTAGCAGGTGTACCAAGGGGACAAATGCAAATGTATGTGAGTGCATGATGTCACCTTTTTCCAGTTGGGTAGGTTGAGAGGTCATGACTGAACAGCCTCTGCAGACAGGGAGAACACCAGAAGTGCCAAAACACCCCATCAGAAACACAGTGTAAAGTGCCTGTGTTGGATGTGTGTGCACGCTTTATCTGCATTTCAGAACAGAGGGAGGCTGGTGTTGGTCTTCACAGAACTGGAACAGAAATGGGATTTAAAAAAAAATAATGTCCTTAACTGAGTAAATAAACCTTTATTTACCAATTATTACACAAAAAGTCAGTGTAGTTTTATTGAATGTATTATGTTAATTGAACAACTTATATACATGCATGCTGAAACTATTTAATGATGAAAAAAAAATGTAATTGCGTGAAAAACACAATCAGATTTAATGGGTAGTTTTAAGAGCATACACGTAGAAAACTGAACTTAATATGTAATCCATTATACTTGTTTGTTTGTGCCTTTTGTGTTCAATACAAATGTTGGAAATCATTTCCTTATTGTTTTTTAATTAACAAGAAATATATTATGTTTGTAAGCAGTAATCTGAAAGCAGCAGAAAGGAACAACTGAGTACATTTTAATATCTGTTTATTTATATATTTGTAATATCTATATTGTGATATTTAACATCGCATATTTTCCTCATATTGTGCAGCCCTAAACCTGATAAAATGTGATCATAAGTAACCATAAATAAAAGCACCCACTGAGGTGCTCTTGAGCAAAGTCCTGAGCCTGTAATTGCTGTTGGGTTCTGCTCAATGGCCAGACTGTAATTATATTGAGTAGCTTCAAATGTGAAGATGAGGAAGTATATGAATATTGAGCAGAGTGTTGCTGGAAAATTAATCCTATAGGCAAAATGTTTCAAAAGGATTAAAATGCTCCAGCTTCCTGTTAAAGCTGTTGCAGTGTGTCAGTCCTTTTCCTTCTCTCTGTCACACAGCTGCTGTCAGCATAGACTTGAGGGGATTGTGAAAAAACACAATTTAAATAGTGTTTTTCTAATATGTTTTCACTTGTTAGACAGACTGCTGTCCAACAGGAGGACATTTCCTGCTCTGAAGCTGACTGTGCTCTGACCTTCCTGGAAGGCAAGACATTTTCCTGCAGGGATCAAAAGAGGATCACGCAGCCACAGTATTATTATTATTACCGTTTGGTTTTCTGTCGGAGCGAGGGTTAATGATACTGCCACGACTCCTGGTTACATACATCTGGTCTAGAAATGAGAGACACTGGAGTAAGTGCAGTGAACGAGCAATCATTACTGCACTAGGTCGGCTGATCTTGTGTGAAATAAATAATTGTTTAACTCTAATGGCGCATTTCCACTGCAGGGCCTCGCACGGCTTAGTACGGTATAGTTAGGCCTTGATAGGCCAGGCTCACTTTATGCTGCGTTTCCATTACAGTTTAGGAACTGGGGTACTAACCGGTATCAGTATGTTGTTACTTCGGCATCATTTTGAAACGTGTATTATAATTAAATCACGGTAAAATATGTTCATTTTGTTGTAGTTGCCAGCGATTCTCTCACTAGTTTAGCATACTCAGCCCGGTTGTTGGCCCTGGAAAGAACCTCGATTTTGGAGAGCCAGAAAACTGTGAAAAAGTACCCGCTAGCCGGAACTAAGCTTAGTGGAAACGCAACCAAAAACGGGCCGGGCACGGCACGCTTAAACTGCGCTCCGCGTTAATCCTCACTAAGACCACGTTGACCTGTTGTTGACACTCATTTACGTGCAGTCGGATATTATAAGTAAAACCAGATGCAGCTCTAAAGATACTCCTACTCACAATTAGGTTTAATTCAGATCAATCATAACTGAATAAAAAGGCTGAACTAATTAAACTCTTCTGTCTGCCTGGCCACTGTAGATGTTTTGATGTGTCACATGTGCTATATAGATTAAAGCTGATGCAAACAGTTATATGGCTATTGGTGTGATGGGTCCTGTACTTTTGTCAATTGTAATATGCACTTTCATGAAGCTGATCTTTAAACACATGAACTTACAAACTAGTGAGTACCTGTGATGGCTATCAATTTCCTAATTATCTCCTAATGGCCTTTAGTAGACCTATCATGGGTACATCTGCTTTTTTTTTAATGCAAAATTGCTTTAACAACTAAACAATTATCTGTCTATTGACTATGCATTGGAGCTCTGTTGGACATTGTTCTGACCATTAAACAATGCATGTAAACCAGGGAGACTGGGGCTGTTGTGAATCATGTCTGCAGTAATTAGGTTTTTGTGTGAATGCTAATGCAGCATGCTGAAAGAATCCCTGTCCTCGTACAGCGACAGGAAAAGAGAAAATCAAGCGTGGCCGCAATCAGCCTCCAATTAACTAACTGTCTGCAGGGTCATTTATTCAGACCCAAGCATTACACGACCGTTAAAGAGAATGACAAAGAGTGAATGAACAGCAATTGACATTTTGAGATCAGCTTGAATTGTGAAGCATGGATTTGCCACGTAGCAGGATGCACATCTAGACTTTAGGAGGGTCCTGGTGGGCCGGTTTACCTGTAGTGTGGCAGAGAGTCCTACAACACTGATATATCGCCTTCACTTTGGTGTCTCACTGCAGTGTTTTAAACGTTACAGTTGTCCCTCTTTAATGTGTACCTGCACATCATAGGCCTGGGTGGCTTCCCCCTTGTTTCTGTCTCGGTGAGTTATTCTATTTGCAGAAATGATATCGAGCATTTTGTGCACATAGCTTCTCCTTTAGCTGTGATGTCTAATCCTTGAAGCCCTCAGATTCCTCAACAAAATACTAGGACACATATTTAGCTTGATTCTGCTTGTTTATTAGATTTAGTAATAAAAACTCATTATTAGATTCTCAGAATATGAAAGGACAACGAAACCGTTGTATGATTATCGTTAACACTTGCACATTTAATGGAATTCTTTCATCTATTGTTTGATCGGATTCAAAATAGATGAAAGATTGAAGTGAAAAAGAACAGCACTAACACACACTAGCTAGCCAACAAATCTATGCTTTTTACAGATACATGTAACACTATAATATGTAACACTGTAATGTAACAATAATAAAGGTTATTTTAGGGCAAGTGAATTGAAGATACTACAGTTGTCCAAATGTAAATCTGAAATCCCCCTTTGACTTCATGCATGAATGATTCTCCTCCACAGCTCTAAAAGTTGGATGGCAGTGGGGACTTGCGTAGTTGACGTTAACAAACCGTCTGCCTCTGGCCCTCTATGTTTCAAAGTATTTTCTTCTCTGTGATCATCCGGACAGTGAAAACCACCTGCTGTGTTCCCCTTCAGAACCCGGCTGCTGCTGCTGCAAGGAAGCCTGAAAACAAGCTCAGAAAAAAACTGAGAAGAAGTTTCATGGATCCCATTAATTTCTGATTCACTTGCACTTCTAGCTTTGTGATGTATTCCCATGACAAATCAACACTGTGAAGCTTCACACCAGTTTGAAACTTGTGAACCTCAAGCAATTCACTGGTGTCCTTTTTGACTTTAAAGGGGGAGCCCTCTCTTCTCAAGCTGTGATAAATTAGCACATATTCCAGTTTGTTTAAGACCCAGTTAGCCACCTGGGCTAATTTATCTCCTATTGCGTCTTAATTAAAAGTTTATGAATGCTGCCGCTCTGGCATGGTCGGACATGTTTTCATAAATCTGGCATTAGATCCGAGTGAAACCTCCTTTGTGGGCGGCTTCCTGTAGTAGAGCTAATGTTTTGAAACATGCCGTTTCTTCTTTAACAGGCAGCTTACAGTGTCTAGTCATTTTGCAGCATTTCTTAAAACGCTTTGTTAAAAATGTTTGCCTTCCGTTTGTTAACCACAAGGTATGAGGATAATGACTTCCTGCATGTTCAGTAGCAAACCCAATCGACCTACTTTAAGTTCACAACGCCATGGTTTTGATTGAAATATAATCATTCAAAAGGAGTGTATCGATGCACCTCTGATTCTCCGACTGCTCCTTTAAGCCTGTTTGACTTTCAAAGAATGTTCTCCTTTGATCCTGCAACCAGCCAGTCCAACCCCACTGGGTTCACTCTCCCACTCCCCATGACCCCAGGAGAGAGAACAGTCTCCAAACACAGCTTACTTTTAAATGCTGATCTGACTGAGTTCAAAGACAAAAGTTCTTTAGAAAGGAAAATAAAGAATAAGCAGAACTACTGTGGTGAAAATAAAAAGTTGTTCTTTCTTTATGTGGATATGAAAGGAAATAAAGAATCAAAGGAGAAGATGTATATAAGAATATAGTTATTTTAAGAAATATTATCTTTATTTTTACAGGACTTTTCTTAACAAAGTTATGAAGTGTTGCAAAGAACACATACAAACACAGCTAAGTACCTAACAGGGGAAAATGTCAGAAACCCTAAGAATAAAAACAAAATCTATTGAAATCAGGAAATTCTCTGCAATGTTTCCAGATTATATTTTAAAAAGCAATGAACTCTTTCTTAACTTGTGCTGGAGGAGAGAGATGATTTACTCCCATCCACGCTTACCTTTCAGGAAGCACTGGAGGCGTACGTGTGATGGCTGATATTCACATTTTAAACTGCTGCTCTCATCCACAGCCATTTGCAATGAGTGCAACCTGAGAGTGCACTCCAATGCCTTGATCTGAAAATATTCCCTCAACACTGAAACGATTCTGTCAGAGGGAGAAGCGCCGGGAAGAGGAAATAAAAGAAGTCAAAAAGCAAGGGAGGCTTTTTAAGAGCGGATCATATTGACACTAGCAGAGGAAATAAGACCGGGAGAGTCAGGTGGAGGAAACGTGCAGGACATTTTGATGAGCTTCATGGCTGTGTGTGAAGTTGCAGAGTGAGTGCTGGAGTCTTAAAGGGAATTGGAAGATCATTACAGTGCTGAGGAAAGGAGAGAGATTAAACTAAAGGCATCGTGGAGAGATGGATTTGTTGCACCAGGGAGCCAAACAGTTTGTAGGAGGAAGAGCAATATGATTAGGGAAAGGATGATGGCCAAGGTGAAGCACTTTGCAAGAGTTTAGTCAAGAGGCGGGAGAAAAAAAATGAAGTATGTGTGTAGTGAGTAAATCTGGGAGCTAACCTAAGAGACCTGAAAACATCCCCTTTGCTTCCACAGAGCACTCCAACAAGGACAAGGCAAAAGAGAGAGACCGAGAGGAGAGGGAGAAGAAGAAGGTCAAAGACCGAGAGAGGGAAAAGGAGAAGAAGAAGCACAAAGTGATCAACGAGCTCAAGATGGAGAACGGAGAAGTCAAGCCGCCCATCAAAGGTTGGTGGAAACACACAATGCAAACCAAGTGATTCATGTAGGGTGACTTTTTTTTTTGTCCAACAAACACTCCCAACACAAAAGGCATTCAACTTAGAATCATATTAAAAATGAAGAGATGACTGATTCCGACCAATGGAAGCTGGATCCAGTCCAAATCTGACATTGTTGCTTAATAATTCACATTGACATTGAGAAAAATTTCAAAAGAGTCAACCTGCGTGTCTCCAAAGTATGGAGTTTGTCACAGGTGGTTGTAAACGAGGAAGCTGCTGAAGCATCTGTGTTCCCTTATGTTGAGATTTCCTTCATCATCAAACTGTTGATTTGTTTTCTGTTGATTATTATTGTTTTGGCAGCAGATATATGGGAGTGCCCTTTGAGCGATAATAATATAATAAAACCCAAACAAGTGAGTTATGGGTTTTTGATTTCTTAATTTGTTAGAAGGAAGCTGTCAAATAACAATTACTGTTTGAGCATTTGTTTGTGTGAGAGTCAGGACCAAATCAATTATTTTCTGTGTTCTGCTGGCTCAGTGATCTAAGCTACACACCCCACAGGCTAATGCATATATCTGTCTTTCTGGCTCTCTCCATGGTATGCAGTGAAATGCAAACAAATGCATTCATGATCATTTTTAAATAAATAATTGCGTTGAGTCAGATCTCTGAGAACAAACACTGGAAGCATTTTTTTCAGTTAGAAACTCGTGCAGGTAAAATGCATCACAATTGTTGCTCTTAGCATTTGCTCAGCTCACAGTGGGGGGTGGGTTATACTGTGGGGTCTCCATTAAATGACCTAATATAGCACACTGTTGTAACCATTTGTGTGTGTGTGTGTGTGTGTGTGTGTGTGTGTGTGTGTGTGTGTGTGTGTGTGTGTGTGTGTGTGTGTGTGTGTGTGTGTGTGTGTGTGTGTGTGTGTGTGTGTGTGTGTGTGTGTGTGTGTGTGTGTGTGTGTGTGTGTGTGTGTGTGTGTGTGTGTGTGTGTGTGTGTGTGTGTGTGTGTGTGTGTGTGTGTGTGTGTGTGTGTGTGTGTGTGTGTGTGTGTGTGTGTGTGTGTGTGTGTGTGTGTGTGTGTGTGTGTGTGTGTGTGTGTGTGTGTGTGTGTTCTTCTTCTGTCTGTCTCTCCTTTACTTTTTTCTATTTAAGTTAAGTGTCACGGCTGGAGGGCAAAGTACATAGGACCCAAATGCAGAAGACCGTTACTTGCAAATCAAAGTGGGGTGAACACTCTTAAAACAGGGAAAACTAATACGGATCATAACATAAAGGACAGTATGTAAATGCATGAATGACATAAGGAAGAACCCCTCCCAGTTAGTGGTGACATGATGAGTCAGTTCATTGATTACTGGGGAGACGGAACACTTTTGATAATGGATGAAGTATTAAAGCTTATCAAAAAGTTGAACATTCACTCGTCTCTATCTATCTTTAACTACACAATGTATGTGTTATTTATTCATAAAGCCCCCAAGAAACCGTCCGACAGCTTTACTCTCAACACTCCATGTTTCCATAGTAACACACTGTCCAACTGTTACTGTGTTAGGCAAGGCAAGGCACGTTTATTTATATAGCACCTTTCAACACAAGGCAATTCAAAGTGCTTTACAAAAATGAAAGACATTAAAGGTCCCATGTCATGGCCATTTCTACTGATCATAATTCCATTGTTGAGGTCTACTAAAATAGATTTATACTGTGCAATTTTCCAAACTCACATTGGTTTCTCATACAGCATCTCTGTAAAGTATGTGTATTCACCAGGTATTCACTCTCTGTCCTAAACGGCTTGTTGGAGCTCCTGCCCCCCCCTCCCTGTGAGCCCAGTGTGCTCTGATTGGTCGCGACGTTGAGAGGCTCGTTGCTGCGATCTGCTGCAAGCAGCAGACAGGCTTCCGTGTTGGCGAAACTCATCCTGAGCACACACAAACACTCACAGCCGAAGTAAAAACAATAAGTGTGGCTTGATATTGAGTAAGAAAAAGGTTTATAACGCTGTGAGAATGGGTCTGTGGAGATCATTTCTCCGCGATCCCAACTTAGCAGCCCGGAAAACGTTTACCCATTTACAGTCGTGGTAGATACCTTGTTTGTTTTAAACATCATAAATACACAAACAACAATGAATACTTACAGGTTGTGTACCCGAATCTCCCGCTGGTCCAAACAAAGTAGGAACAGCATCGTTCTTCAGTGCCCTACGCTGTGCATATCCGGCATGAATCGCTGAAAGGTTTGGGAAGCTTTGTTTCGTGAAATGCTGGCAGAGGGTGTGGCCTCTGGGTATCCCCACGTCAGAGTACCCAGGAAGTAAAGAATGGAAAATGAAAAATCTCCAACGAGGCGTTTTGGGGCAGCATAGACTGTGTTAGAGTTTTACTCGCTACAGGGTGTACTTTGAGGGTTTTTGACTCTGCAGACCGTTTACATGCATAAAAACCTTCATAACACACAAGGGGACGGGTAGTAACCGGAAAAGCCTGACATGGGACCTTTAAGAAAATGGCATTTAAAATCAGTCATTAAAAAGCAAAAATAATAACATAAACATTAACCTGTTAAGCCCGAGAGACCCCGGTACCGGGGCACTGCCGCAACATCTTGCAGGAAACAGTGTCTGAGGGCATGTTCATTTAATAAACTATGAATGTTTTATATCCATGTAACGGGAAGAAACTCATCTAACTGATCTTTTTTTTTTTTTTTTTCAAAAGAAAACCCACAATGCTAACACTGAGCCTCTGAATTAGCAACGAGCGAAAAATGCTAACAGATTACTGCACCGAAAATCACTCACAAAACCTTATTATTTATCTTTTGTTCACATCCATGACATCGATTCACATCGTGAGGTGACACAGAATCGATGGGTACCCTCATTATCACTGAATTATACGAAGCAAAAACAGACATCAAAACATTTGACGCTAGGTAGCTAAAAATGCTAACAAGGTTACCTTGGCTCTGTAGTCTCTCCAAAGTGGTCTTCAATGGCATTAAAACGATAAAAACGCTGCTGAAGTTAATCCATAGGTTAATCCAATGTGTCTGTGTCCCTTTGAAATGATTTCTGATAATCCATGAGCAATGAGATTGATAATCCATGCTTTTACGTTTCTAGATGTCAGAGCTAGACTGTAGCTTCACTCTAATGCAAAATTACATGCGCAAAGCCCCCATCTTTTTTTTTCACAATGAGTGTGTGTGGGGGACTCCCCCTTCGATTCTATTGGCTCTAACGGTCAGAAAGAGGTGTCAACCATCAAAATCGAGCAAGGGGGGCCAGAGATATGGAAAATCCACCCAAATGACCCCAGAAGTGGTTATTTTTTGCTAAATCTGTCTAAAAAGGTCAAATGTCACTTGTTTTGCATCAATCTTGATACAGGGTACTTATTATATGTTGTACTTTGGATTCCTAAAGCTTTTAATTTACCTTACCATCATCCAAGGGTAGTTTTCACTATAAGTAAAAAATAATTTTTGGACGGACACTATAATTTACAGTTTTTTACTATGTAAAATCTGAATTTTCTTTAAAATAAAAAACATCTATATTGATTCTGACTTTTCTACATCCAACTCACAGGTTTATCATTACTTTGAGAAAAAGGATTATTAATTTAACCCTTTTAGAAGGGAAGATATGGTCATTTGTTCTGGGAATGTCATTTTCGAGCCTGAGACCTGACAAACAGGCTCAGGGTGGAACAGGTTAAAAGAAAAAATACATGGATAAAAGTTACAGTGCAGTTTAAGATGTGAATAGTTCAATTAAAAGCAGCGGCAAAAAGAAAAGTCTTCAGCCTGGATTTAAAAGTAGTCAGAGTTGTAGCGGACCTGCAGGTTTCTGGTTTGTTCCAGTTATTTGGAGCATAATAACTGAACGCTCCATGTTTAGTTCTGACTCTGGGGACAGAGAGCCAGTCCCAGAGGACCTGAGAGTTCTGGATGGTTCATAATTCAGCAGGAGATCAGAAATGTATTTTGGGCCTAAACCATTCAAAGCTTTATAAACCAGCAGCAGTATTTTAAAATCAATTCTTTGACACACAGGAAGCCAGTGTAAAGACTTCAGAACTGGAGTGATGTGTTAGTGTGAAGGTTAATCATCACAGAAAAGGCTCTGAAGTGATATGCTAGTGTTTAACCGAAGACATGGTGAATTATGTCCCGAGTGTCAGCTACATTAAAGCTTTTTAAACCTTGATTAAAAAAACAATCATGTATGAAAATGAAGCCTATACAGAATGTATGTACTATGATGTCTGTGTGCATAAACAAGCAGAAAGGAGAAAGGCCACAGTCCCCTACAGGTGTGTCATGCTAGTGTTTCCTTGTTTCCACTTCATGTGTGTGTTGGAGAGTTTCATTGTTAACCTTTCGACAGCAGTGAATTATTTGCTGAGCGGTGTGAGCGTCTCTTTTCCTCCCCCCCTTTCTCTCTCTGTATTTGACATTACCTTTTTTAAACAGACATGCACACACATAACAATCCGACATACATGGTTGCCATTTTATCCTGAATTCTCCTAGAGCTTTAGTCTGACTCACAGCACTTCTCTGTGCTGGTGTGCCATGATCCCTCTGTGACCGTCGAAGGCCCCAGTGAAGCCACAGAAGGGTGCAGACGTAAATCACTGTGATAATTCAGCTCACCTTTTAAACCTTCAAACTGAATGTGAGGTGGACAGGCGTCCTTGGTATGGCATTACATCTTCGCAGTATGAGTTTAAGAGCTGGAGAGGTGAATTGAGAGAGAGAGGCTGATAAAGTGGTCCTGCCAGAGAGACAAGCATGTGATTGTGTTTGTACAATAAAAGAGACACTGCAGGATCCATGGTGGGAATCAAGAGGGAGACTCTCCCCACCACAGAGTAGATATTCAGTTAAACTGAGTGAGGCATTTAATCAGAGAGTGTTAAGTTAGACAATGTTGGGAGTGGTGAAATCAGGGGGGAGAAGTTAGAATTTAATCTGAGAGAGTGTTAAGTTTACAATTGGAAATGACGACAGAGAGAGGCACCCCGAGGAAACTTGTATAGAAAATCAATACACAGCGAGCAGCTATTCTGACAGCAGGGCTGCTTTACTACCTCTGAGGCGGTGTGTGTGTCCCCCCCGCTGTGTGTGTTTTTATTTGTCACTTATCTGACCTTACAGCGACTGTCGAGCCATGTGGTCCGCTCTTATACAAATGGGTGTGTTTGTGTGTGAGCAAAGAGGTGACATCCCAGTTTGTACACACTTGGGCGTTGTTTTTTAAATGTCAGAGGAAAATACATCCACCATGTTTTAAATGTTTTTAAAGCGTGAACCCAAATGATGGAACTTGTATTGATGTTAATCTTCCCTTCATTGTTCTTGTTTTTAGAGATTGAACAGGGAGATATTTACTGTCAGGGGTGCTGCTAGTTAATGTTGAATAGCTGGTCAATCATAGTCGATCAATACAAGAAGGTAATGAAAACATCTGATAGGTGATCACTTTAATCATTTGCTATGTGATCAAATTCACACATTTGGATTTTATAATGTGAGGTATGCTGTTTGTCTGTTTAATATCATTCAGATTTAAACATTGTTGGATTTTCAACTGTTAGTCAAACAAAACAAGAACATTTGCTGACATTGTGTAAATATTTCTGTGTGTGTGCGAGAATATATAATTGGGGGAGGGGTGCCTAGTGTTAAAGAGTTTTCAGATGAGTAGCTTTGGTATTGTACTGCAAATATCTTCTTGCTGTCTCAAGCACACACACACTGTGCCCCTTTGCTCTTTTTCATCCTGTCTCATTCCCGCCTTATCTTGTGTCGGACGTGTGTGAGGTACAAACTAGAGTGTGTGTGTGTGTGTGATGATAGCGGATATGTGAATTATGCTGAGGCAGCAACTATCAAAAATACTCTCATGCGCACACACACACACACATAGTAAATGTATATTTATCCACTTGTTTACACAACCGCTTGGTAAGAATGAACCAGCCACAACACATTTCCAAATGGATGTTAACCGCTCACAACCAGTGACATTTCAAAGCTGAGATAAAAGAAAACAACTCATCACAACAGAACAAAGTAGCACAGATTAGGTTAGGTGTTCATAATCAGCTTTAACCTGATCAATACTTCATTTTGAATTCAAGTGTACACACACACACACACACACACACACATATATATACAGTAGCACTGTGCTTAAACACCTCAGGCGTCATGGAGACCGTCCACCATGTGCGTTATTATCTCTTATCAGATATTCCTCTGGAAAGCTTGTTTCCTGGCCTTGTCATATCTGCTTTTTTACAGGGGTGCTATTTCGGTCCTCTTAAATTCTTTTTATACATTCACCCCCGGAGACACACACCACCTGGGAGAAGAAATGAGTCATCTGTCTACAATAGTTAGGACTCATTATCTTTTGCTGTATTGTTTTTTTTAAATAGGGAATCTATCAGATATCACTTTGGTTTGGTGATTAAGAACAGTGAAAGTAAATGATACAGCAATATGATGGAAATGCTTTTATGTTTCTGTGTTCGGCCCTTCTATATAACCTGCTTTGACGAATCATCAGCACTTGATTTCCTGTTTTCACTTCACCTTATTTGACTGAAAGCTTTCTCTGAGCTCTCATCATTGCAAGAGGACAGTAAACGCTGTCTTCTTACAGCGAGCAATGGAAAGAGCCGTGGGATGGTTTGTTGATCCATCACACAGCAGACTAGATTTATTTTGAGAGTCTGCATGAATTATGTGTCCCCCTACTCCCTTTAAGCTTTTTCAAAATTACCTATTTTTAATCTTTAAAGAATGTCGTCTCCTTTAAAAACGGTCTTCCCCTCAAAGTTGTAATGTCTCTTTCTCTGCCCCTTTGTCCAGATGAAAAAGAGAAGGCCAAGATCAACCCAGAGGACCTGCAGATCAAAAAAGTGAAGAAGAAAAAGAAGAAGAAACATAAAGAGGGGGAGAAGCACAAACGAGTGAAGATGTACCACCGCTCCTGCCAAACCATTTGTGCTGGCCTATTTCTCCTCCCTCCGTCTTCCCCACCTCCCAACTCTTCTCCCTCATCCTCTGATGTCACTCCTAACTCCTCCCTGTCTCCATTCAAGTCCCCCCTACCTGTTTACCCTCCACCCAACAACAAAACTGCACATCTCTTACCTTCCTCTCCTCATCTCACCCCCAAATCTCTCTTAAACTGCGCCCTCCTCGACTCCCTCAACTCTCCATCAAAGACCCCGACCCAACCCCAGCATCAGTGCAGCTATCCCGGCATGGCGGGCTTGGAGTTTGCCCCGTACATCCACATAGAGAAGCAGCCGAACGGGGGGGCCCTGGTGGCCCACGCCTACACCTCCCAGCTCTCCTCCCTCTCCCCGGGCCAGATGCAGAGGTTCGCCCAGGAGTTTGTCACCCTGTCTTTCAGCGAGGACTCATCGCAGGTACGGCAGAGTCAGATATTCATCATTACAGAAAAGTATTCTGCTTGTGTTATCTTATCGTTTTAAAGATAGGCCAAATCTTATCTTCCCATCACAGAAGCAATTCTAAAACTCATGGCTGTGTCGTATCGTATCTCAGTCCTCCTTTCTTTTCGTATAAAACAACAGCTGTAAATTAGCTTGTTCATTAGGCCCTGTCATGCCTGTATTCATGTTCAAAATGCACAGCTCTTATTATAGTGCATGTGTGATCTGTACAACCACTGGCAGGAGCGCTGTGCGTTCTGCAGGACTCCTAAATCCTATAATTAGGACAGTTTGTTATTGTAATAGCTCAATTCCTATCCAAAGTAAATGCATTATGGAAACATGTTTGTGTAATACAAACAAACCTAAATGTCATCCTCAACTGAGATCAGACCAGGCTTAAGACGTTTCTGTAAAAGGGCCCTTAGTACATTTATACAATATAAAACAAAGTTTAAATTGTATTACTGTCCTTGTTTTTCAGGCCGCTCATTACGTCATGGGGATCGTCCATGGAGAAGCCAGCTACCTGCCGGACTTCTTGGACTACTTCTCAAGCAAGTTCCCAACCGCTCCAGTCAAAATGGAAATACTGGGAAAGAAGGACATAGAAACCACCACCATGGTTAATTTCTACTCTCAGGTCAGTCAGACACACGACAAAGAAAATGTGTGGGACAGATGTACACAACTGAGCGGACATATCATCTGGAAAAACAGCTTTTGTCTTTGGTCATTCAGTCCAGGGTTAGGGTTAGGCTCACCAGATGCAGATAGCAGATGGTGAGCAGATAGCAGATATTAAATGAAAAAAAGATTTACAAAATAGCCGGGGCCGAGTGTTTCCGAGCCTCTCACTGTCTGTCCGCTGTATCTATCAGGCTGCTGAGTACTACAACTGTCCATGAATACAGACACCATCTGAGGCCATTGTGGAAATAGAAAACACTTCCTGTTCTCATTTCAGACTTTCTCACTCATACAGACACACAGGAAGAGGTGGAAACCTGCTGATTACTCTGAGATTGTCTACAAGTGCACACATGTCATCTGTTGTACATGCTCATCTTAGTTTCCGTTCAAAAAGTGACATGTTGCTAAATGTTAACTCTGTAGCTTTGTATCAGTTGTGTACTTTTGTACTTTTTATACATTTAGTTTAGTATTTGTCCTGGGCACTGTAGTTTAAATACTGTGTATTTGTGTCAAACTTCCAGGTTTGTGATCTCTCTGTTATTATACAGGATGGGAACAGAACAAGTGTTGAGTTTATGAATGGCTTGACCTCTGGGTCAGTCGGAAAAGTATCAAATGAATTCCGTTTGATCTCTTTTCAGCTGACATGTACTTTATGAGGTGTTTATGTAAAACACCACCATGTGTGTATGAGTGCATGTACAGCAGAGAGTGGGAATATGTACATGAAGCGTATCACTGTCCACCTGCACATTTACAACATCAGACTTTCTGCCCTAGAAAGCAGCTCTTTGTATCCTTGAAAACAAAGATAAATGAACAAGGAAAGGCTGATGGAAATACAAATATATAAGAAGGTCAAAAGAGAGCATGCGAAAGTCCGTCAGGAGATGGATGGTTGGATGGATGGAAGGAAAGATTTAGAGACGGTACAAGCTGGGGGAGAGGATGGAGGGATGCCAAGGGAGGGAAAGAGATCGATCTAGGAAAAAGGGTGGATGATGGATGGCTGCTGTTTGCGGATAAAAAGTGGTGTTAAAGCTTTAACCATCTGGTTTGAGAATCTGCATCAATCTGCAGAGCTGTTAGCTTCTGGCATTCATTCAGGTGTCTGATTTCTCCGAGCAATTGACAGCATTCACAATGACGGCTCTCTGAGTTACTGAATCTTACAAAGTTTAAGTGAGAGCAAGAAAGGAAGTCAAAAGCTTGTTAAAGATGAGGGAAGTCAGGGGGTGACAGAGCCAGGGAGAACGACCTGAAAACAAATATGCTAATAGGACTCTGAGGGGTCACTGCCTTTTCTTTTAAAGCACAGGTATGGGAGCCTCTCTCCCACTCCTCAACATAACTCACAACCTTTTGAGGCCATCTGTCTGTCTGTCTGTCTGTCTGTCTGTCTGTCTGTCTGTCTGTCTGTCTCTCTGCCTGTCTGTCTGTCTGTCTGTCTGTCCGTCTGTGTGTCTGTCTGTCTGTCTGTCTGTCTGTCTGCCTGCCTGTCTCTCTGCCTGTCTGTCTGTCTGTCTGTCTGTCTGTCTGTGTGTCTGTCTGTCTGTCTGTCTGTCTGTCTGTCTGTCTGTCTGTCTGCCTGTCTGGATTGTGTCGTCTGAGCACGGAGACACACCTGGACCTCCTCGTTTATCCTCTGTCTATAGCTCACTAATGAAAAGCCTTTTGTCGCCTCAAACCCCCTGAGAGCCTTTGTATTGAGATACTGCCGGGTATTTCTCAACGTGAGTGCAGGCTAACACAGAGTGTGTGTGCTACTGAAGGCTAGAGCAGTTCATGCTCTCAAACACACTGCTTCTGGCTATTTATTACCTCAGCTTTTGCCAGTTCTGCTTCAAAACACATATGTGATCCCTGCATGTCTCTGATACATCTGAGAGAATGAAGGAATAAAACCTCTACATGCCTCAATATAGTTTCCCCTGCAAACCTGTGTCCTGACGGAGCTGTCCCTTTAAGAGCAGTCTTTCTTGCAGGGCTAACGTCGTCATTGTCCATTGGTCTTGTTAATTCACCCCCCCCCCCCCCCCCCCCACACTCCTAGCTCTCAGCAGTGACCTTGGAAAGTAGACATACAGTCTACACACACACACACAAACAGATGTGAGTGCACACCGATATATACACAGCGCAGGTACACACACAGACAGATGAATGATTTCTCTCACACACTTTTCCCCCACCTTTCTTTCTCTTCAGCAGCTTAGTGTCTCCCCCCCTCTGCGTTAGTCTGTCATTCCCTCTCTTTTATCCCTCTTGTCTTTATGTTTTTGCTCAGTCGTTTGGTTCAACGTTCCTCCTTCAAATGGCTGAGCAGCTGCTTTTTGTGGAAGAAGGGAAGACATTGAGACATTTAAACCGGCTTGCAATTATCCATCAGACTGAATGAATATTAATGTAACGATTATCCTGGCCAAATAATTGAAACAATTTACAAACAGAATACCTTTTATTCTTCCCACAGAGGGGAAATTCACATTGATTGAAGCAGAAAAGAGCTAAAGATAGCTTAATATTAACTAGGAAGCATGCATAAAACAAAAATGACACAATTTACTAAATATTCATCTGTAACAGTTTTGAAGATATAGCAGCCAAGTATATATTGCACAATTATTAACAGCATATATATATATATTGCACATCATTTGTATTTCACAACAAGGGGTGTTATAGCATAGTCATAATTTAATAGCATCACAGATACGACACTCAGACTTTTAAATGAAAATGAATGATAAATCCTAAGGAGCACAGAAAGAAATAAGCAGGGGGGATTAAAATAGCAGCATAGCATGTGTGTGTGTGTGTGTGTGTGTGTGTGTGTGTGTGTGTGTGTGTGTGTGTGTGTGTGTGTGTGTGTGTGTGTGTGTGTGTGTGTGTGTGTGTGTGTGTGTGTGTGTGTGTGTGTGTGTGTGTGTGTGTGTGTGTGTGTGTGTGTGTGTGTGTGTGTGTGTGTGTGTGTGTGTGTGTGTGTGTGTGTGTGTGTGTGTGTGTGTGTGTGTGTGTGTGTGTGTGTGTGTGTGTGTGTGTGTGTGTGTGTGTGGTGTGTGTGTGTGTGTGTGTGTGTGTGTGTGTGTGTGTGTGTGTGTGTGTGTGTGTGTGTGTGTGTGTGTGTGTGTGTGTGTGTGTGTGTGTGTGTGTGTGTGTCTGGCTGAGGATTAGAGGAGATTACAGCAGTCCATTTTCTCAGGCAGTTCAGCCCCGCAGCCAGTACATGATGTGCTTAGACAGTGAGGAAATGTAGACGTTCCGGTTTACTCACTGAGTAATAATTTATTTACATCATCAGATTAAGATTATCTAGAATAACTGTCTGCAGCTTTATAATTGTACTGTGCCCTTTTTGGACTCATGTTGGTACTTGTAGCTGTATACAAGCTTTCACAACAAAGCCATATCATGTAAACTAGCCAACAGATACTGTAGCATGTCAAATGCATGCTTTGAAAATGAAATATGGTCATTTGATTGTGATGCTGTTATTAGCTATAATGACTTACTATAGGAATGAAGCTAGCTCTTTTTGGGAAATCCCGTTTCAATTGTTTGTGTTCTACATTTGACCTAAACACAAGTTTCGTTAATTTAGGTTGATTAGTTGTTTTCTGTTTTAGATGTTCAGATAAAACCTCATCAGAATCCAATAATGTCAGACTGTGGCTCTATGCTCCAGCTCTGTACACACCCCACTCCTCCAAAGCTCTGTTGCACTCTGCCTCCACACTGTCTCCAACAGTGTTCACACAACAAGCCTCCACTGCATCAGTCTCCATTGCAGCGCTTAAACTTTGACACAGCCATGGTGTTATTTTGGACTTCAATGTAATCATTACTCGGATCGGGTGATTATTCTATTTTCTTTTTTTTCAAATTGTGGTAACATAAAAGGACCTATGGGCTCACCATGGATACACCCTGTATTGTGTTACATAGGTTTTTGTGCATGTACATAACCATTACATATTTGTTTACTGTGTGTTAGTTCATTCACATGGCTGTGTTCGATTGAGAAACAGAAAGAGAGACACACAGCTGGGAAAGAGAGGAAGCAGCAGACAGACACACACAGGTCGTGGAGAGGCCAGAGAGATTAGTGAGATGACACAAACTCAGCTGCAGAGACAGAGAGCCGAGGACGTGTTGACGAGAGGAGGGAAAGTTGTTTCAGAATGAACTAGTGGATACACATGGCTGCATCACAGGCGGAGAAGAGAAGGGAAGAGAGAGGCTTGATCTAATAGACTTCCCACTGGGGGACGTGAGTGTAATGAGGAAGAGGAGGAGATGGAGTGTCTGATGGAGACGAGAGAAAAATGGATAATCTGGGTAAAACAGCGAGTGGGAAGTAGAGAGGGAGTGAGCCTTAAAGATTCACTGCTTTAAGCAGAAGGAAGTGACAGCAGGGGAGAGACGACAGTAATGATAATTATATTTAATGATGGTGGCTCTTTAATCTCGTGAACATGCAGACCAGGAATACCTAATAAGATGTTTTAGATGGAGAAATAAATGTAATTGCATTCTTTTGTGTCCTGAGTTGTAGTTGTTGGATAAAAGGAGACGTTTAAAGACATCACCTTGGACCTTGAGAACATGGGATGGACATTTTTTTCTGTGGATGATAAGTAGAATAGAGTTCACAGATGAGAGGAAGTACTAGAGCAACTCGTAGTCAAAGGAAGTCTGTCACATTTCCTGTTTCCTTCAGTTCCTTATTAAAGCCAGATGTGTGAGTGTTAAAGGTGTTTTTTGGATGCAGAGGTAGTGTCTCGTAACACTGTAGTCCTGTGATAGTGAGACTGTTCCCTTTGCTAACAACGTGGGGGTTATTCTGCCGGTAAATTATGCATCGTGTGTAAACAACACACAGACACACAGGAGGAGATGTTCAAACGCAAACACAGTTCTAAGTATGCAGCAAGATGAAGGCATACACAGATGCACACATACTGGGCGAGAAACACAAATGTTGGTAAGCATGAAGGCGTTTGATTCCATGTGTGCACATTCCCTCAGTATCTAGGTCATTGACTCAGGGAGACTATTTAAGCTGTGTTTACGCGTGTGGAGGTAGTGTTTCAAGCTTTTGCTCATCATCATCTTGGAGGATATTACACAGCGCAGATTTAGGGAAATGGAGAGAACAACACAGCCCGTCCGTGCATGATAAACTCAGTTATTTTATATTAGTTTATCACTGATAAGATAACCCAATAGGCAGTTATTGGTCCATGTAGTTGGACTCATTTTGTAAGGAAACCTGCAGGAGACTTCTCTTGTTTTGAAACAAAAAGGAGAGAACACTTGAAATGGGATCAGCTGTATGTCCTCCCTGCATATGGACAGGTTGCCTCGTCCACTGAGTAACAACAGCATATCCTCCTACAGTATACACTAGGGCTGAAACCTGTGTGTGTGTGTGTGTGTGTGTGTGTGTGTGTGTGTGTGTGTGTGTGTGTGTGTGTGTGTGTGTGTGTGTGTGTGTGTGTGTGTGTGTGTGTGTGTGTGTGTGTGTGTGTGTGTGTGTGTGTGTGTGTGTGTGTGTGTGTGTGTGTGTGTGTGTGTGTGTGTGTGTGTGTGTGTGTGTGTGTGTGTGTGTGGTGTGTGTGTGTGTGGTGTGTGTGTGTGTGTGTGTGTGTGTGTGTGTGTGTGTGTGTGTGTGTGTGTGTGTGTGTGTGTGTGTGTGTGTGTGTGTGTGTGTGTGTGTGTGTGTGTGTGTGTGGTAGATCAGGTTAAAGCTGATTATGAACACCTAACCTAATCTGTGCTACTTTGTTCTGTTGTGATGAGTTGTTTTCTTTTATCTCAGCTTTGAAATGTCACTGGTTGACCCCAGGTATACAGCTGTTACAGACATATTGTACTTATTATCCAGCCTGTGAAAATAACCACGCTACTTAACCCACACACACACACACCTACACACACCTGAGCTGCTGTATTTAAGGCCTTGTCCTCTGAGCAGCTGTTTAGGGATTCAGTGCCTTGCTCAGGGGCGCACCAGGGACCTGCTGAGCCTCCTCCTCTTCAGGCTTTTCCCGATTCATCTTCTCCATCTTCATGACCTCTGCCCCCCACCCTCTCAAACCTAGCTTCATCACTTCTTCCCTTCTTGTCACACTGCCTCCTTCCTTTTCCCCTTCTCCTATCTGCTGTCTCCTACTCTTCTGTCCGCTTCTCTCCTTCACATCAAAATGTCCCTCTTTCTTTTATCTTCCAAAGACCATGTAGTCTTTACTTTCCTACCCACTTCCTCTCTCCATACTCCCTTCCATGTTTCCTCTTCCTGTCTTCTGTGTCTCTTTGACAGCTTGTCTTCCTAAACTCTGCACCACTTCTGTCCATCTGTCCCTCACCCCCTCTCCTCCCTCTGGACTCTCTCTCTTTATCTCTGCCTCGTCGTCAAGTGGTGACTCACTGGAGGCATGCAGCCAAGGATCTGGCCAACACACACGCACACGCACACACACACACACACACACACACACACACACACACCAAGATCAGCCAAGAGTACAGCATGCAGACCACATGCTGCACACACTGCACACTCAGACACACACAGACCCTGTTTCGAGCCAAGGGGCTTGAGAGACGTGACACACACAAACACACACTTAATACACACTAAGCCCTCACACTAAGCTCTCTCATCCAAGTGAAGAGCAGCAAACTGTCACACCGTTGGAGCAGAAACAACAAGTGAAACCACACACACACACACACACACACACACACAGTCTCTGTTTTGACACCCTAAAGTGATTAACAGCAACTTTTGGCTTATACAGCAGTCAACAATAAGTAATACATATGTGTATTTTGTAAACATACCTTACCGTTTTCCCTACACATTTTGCAGACCCCATTGACATACATGCGTGTCTCTTCATTTGGGTGACCTGCCAGAGGGAATAACAGGAAATGATAGATAGTGGAAAATACATATAGTATCAGAAACAAAAGGAAGCACTATCTACTGCCTATCCACCTGCAGTAGATTAAAGAAAATCTTAAAACCTTAAAATCACTGGAGAGAATCCAATTCTTTTGCAGCTCATCCTTACTGATTCAAATGTCATTTACCTCCTTTTAACTGAAAGCAAAATATGAAATGCTTTATAAAGAACATAAACCATTATATAGGATGTCTATCATCTGGATGTAGATAATATTTCTGTTCTGTGTTATTGTTATTTACAACGCAAGATAAATTAGCATTACAATATTGTCTAACATTGCCTTTCTTGTTGTTGCCGCAGGTGAAGAAAACGTACAGTAATGGCACATACCGAGCCGGAGCAATGAGACAGATCAGCCTGGTGGGAGCCGTGGACGAGGAGGTCGGGAATTATTTCCCAGAATTCCTCGGCATGCTAGAGGAGTCGCCCTTCCTGAAGGTGAGTTCGGACAGCATGAATGGCAGCAGTGCTTACACAGCGACAGAACGGATGGAAAGAGCGGGGAATAAGAAAGTGTCAGAGCTATAAAGCAGATCTGCCTAAATACTTCATTGCATTTACTCCACTGACTGTTTGGAAATGTACATAGGGAGAAACACTGCTCGCCACAAACATCAACAACACACCTAACACTGTCAGGAGTTAACCCCATGTGTCTGAGTTATTTGAATCAGGTTCTCTTTTCAAACGTGTGTGCGGAAACAGACCAAAAACAGAGTGTTTACTGAGCTGTCCCTGAAACGCAGGCGGGACAAGCTTTATCCTGCGTACAGTGTGGAGGAGTGGCGTGGAATATAAAAAGACACACATCCTCTGGCTCTCACTGTGTCGAGGGCTTTGGCTCTGATTCAGCTCCCTTGGAAGCGTCTCGCTGCCGTGACAAGTTTAGCCAGAGGGAGCAAGTTCTGCACGAGCCTGCTTTTTCTCTGGAATAAATCAAAAAGCTTGAATGGCTTTAGTGAAAAAGTGTGGGAGGTACTTACTTTTCCTCTTCATGTGTGTGTCTGCAGCGGACTCTTCCGTGGGGAACGTTCTCCAGCCTGAGGACCATGGATCCCACCGAGAGCGACGACGGGCCCATCATGTGGGTCAGACCCGGGGAACAGATGATACCTGTAGCTGACATACCAAAGTCTCCTTTTAAAAGAAAACGGTGAGCACACACTGCAGTTTACACACAGGAAATAAAGCCGTGTGTGTGTGTGTGTGTGTGTGTGTGTGTGTGTGTGTGTGTGTGTGTGTGTGTGTGTGTGTGTGTGTGTGTGTGTGTGTGTGTGTGTGTGTGTGTGTGTGTGTGTGTGTGTGTGTGTGTGTGTGTGTGTGTGTGTGTGTGTGTGTGTGTGTGTGTGTGTGTGTGTGTGTGTGTGTGTGTGTGTGTGTGTGTGTGTGTGTGTGTGTGTGTGTGTGTGTGTGTGTGTGTGTGTGTGTGTGTGTGTGTGTGTGTGTGTGTGTGTGTGTGTGTGTGTGTGTGTGTGTGTTCGTTCCCACAAGGACAGCTTATGAAAAACGCTAGCAAAACTCACTCACACATTTAAAGCAGCAGCCGTGGTAGCAGCATGAAGCTTTGTTGCAGCCGAGCAGCGTCCAATGAGGCAATTACACCCTCTCTGTTTGTGTGGGTCATTGTTGCTCACACATAAGCTCCGTCTCACACACTCATAAACACAGGAGTTCTGTGAGCGAGACCATTAGAGAATGTGTCTATGTGTGTGTGTGATGTGAGCGGGATGTGTCTCACCACTCACATGAGATCATTGTGTTGTTAATAGAGAGGACACATCAGACGCTGCTTCACATGGAAGCCAGCCAAGTGCAGGACAACACATTCCTCACGTGCAGCAGCAGCTATATCTGTCCTGACCCTACTGATTTGTATTCATCATACTGAACATCAATAGTAATATTTAGAGGGTTTTTTTAATGTATGATTTCAGGGCTGAAACTATAAGTCAGTTTACACAGGATTCATATTTGTGTTAAAGAGGACATGCTCATTATCAGGTTCATATCAGTATTTTGAGCATCTGCTGTGACATGTCTCCATGCTTTGATGTTCAGAAAGCTCTTCTCATACTGCCTGTGCTGCAGCACCTCTTTTCACCCTCTGTCTGAAACCAGAGCACAGTCTGCTCTGATTGCTTCGCTGGGCTATGTTGTGATTGGTCAACCACTCAGGGATGTCCGGCCCCTTATCATGTACAATGTGTAAGAGTGCTAGCCAATAGAAGCGCCAGTGTTACATAGTGATGTCACTGTGTTACAGAAGTGAAAAAAGGAGTCCAATGGAGGTATTTCAGAGAGGGGGGGGGGGGGGGTGCGAGAGACTCCCTCTGGAAGGATCACAGAGATGTTAGCCCTTGCAGAACATTTACATGCACAAAATTCACCATTTTCTGATTCCAGCTTCTAGGAGAATGTGCTGCTTTTGTATGTTTGATAAGAATAGCTAAATATCTCAGTGCACTTGTTTTGACTTAAAAAGCCGTTATCTTGGGGTTTAGCAATTTGATATTGGAAAATAGTTGAAGCATCCACAAAAGCATAAGTGGATGGGGACAAAAGGAGAATTCAGTCAGACGTTCCTGGGAGACTAAAAGAAAGTATTGTCATTTTATCATTAGTGTTTACAAACAATTTGTTGCATACATGTTATGCATGCTTTGGTGCACAGTGTTTGAAGAGGACTGCTGTCAAGAAAGAGTGTGTGTGTGTCAACATGAATGTGTGTGTGTGTGCTGTCAGAAACACTTGTGTTACAGCCGGGGCTGAAGGAATGTGTTTTTATAGAGACAGAGAGAGAGAGAGAGAGAGAGAGAGAGCTGGTTAAAGTGTTTGTTTCTCTTTTATATCGTGTCTCATCATATTACTCATTCATAAATCACCATGCGTATAAATACAAACCAAGGTGCACTCCTGATATTGTTCCCATGTTGGCTCCTGGATCTCTCATCCTCCTCCGAACCCTCCTCTCCTTTTCTTCCCTCCCCTCCTCCCACATGTATCTGTTTGTATCCGTCTTCTTTCTCCATCTCTCCTCCTGACCTCTTCCTAGGCTTTAAGTTGATTTATTGTGAAGCTGTTATTTCCAGGCACTCTAACAGTGTGTTGCATATGTATGTATATCCAATATGTCAGAGTATAAAGACAAGTGCAAATGAAGAGAAGGGTTTATTTGCGGCGAGACCTTTTCTGCAGCTTGACTGTATTTGTGTTGAAAGAAGGCTACTTGTGTAAGAGGAACATCCTATCTCAGCATTTCCTGTTTTGTGTAAAGGTCCAGGCGCTGTGCTTTTCAGTGTCTCAGTCTGTGAATTCTTCTACATCTCAGTGGTCCGATGACTCCAATAAACCCAAATATTTCAGCATTTAGTGATGAGCGCCTTGCTTCCCCTAGATGTATAATAATTGCATAGCAACAGCAGCAGCCCCTCGGCAGGCCCCAGTTGCAGACAGGAAGCAGAGCATGCTGTTCCCGCTCAGAAACACGCAGCATGACCTATGACAGACAGCGGGGGTCCATGGGGGGTCCGGTGGCTGTCAGCTGCATGTGCTCAGTTTCAAGCATAGCTGTTATGATTCGTTTATGAATCTGTTAGCCAAGTATCAGAACATCTTAAATATTTTTAAAGTAATTCATTTTAGTTTTTATAAGCAAACGCTCTAAACATGTTCTAGCTACAGCTACTCCATGAGACCTTTTTTACATCATTGTGAAGTGATTATTTCTGACTAAACACATATTGATTAACAGAGAAAGCACTTGGCAGATAAATCAATGATGCAAATACTCATTAGTAGCTTCAGCTCAGTGTAAATGTGACGTGCAACCTTTCAGAGAGTGCTGCAGCTTTGAGAGGTTCTCTCAGTGCTTATCGTCAGAGCGTGGTTCCCCCCTCCTACACTTTTTGAACTGCCTAATCCTCTGCTCCCCATCCCTCTCTCCTTCTCTATCCCCTGTTCCCCTCCATCATCTCCCTCTCCACTCCTTTGACCTCCCACTTTATTTGCCCACAAACACAGGTCCTGATGACTTGGTGCAGACACACACAGCGTTATGGCCTCATTGTGCCAGGACAACATAAAGAGCAGGAGATGGCAGACTTCTAATATCACTGTAGCTGTGCACGTTCAGCAGTCTCATTTTGAGTGTTTCTCTTCCCAGCTTTTACAGTCATTACTGTCAGCCTGCAGCCAGCTCAGACACACGGAGCTGTGTGTGGGTTGGTGTGTGTGTGTTTTCACTCTCTCCTTTTTCTTCTTCCCCTTTCACCAACTCTGGTCTCTTATCTCTGAGTGAATGAATGCACAATGAAGTGTTGAGCAGGGGTAGTCTCGCCGTGGTTCTGCCTGTGTTACACTCTCGAAGGAATCTCTCACACACTCGGTGTCAGTGTTTCTTGTTTGAATGTGACTGCAGCTTCAGTGTGAGTCACTGATCCAGCAGCGAGCTGACTGCAGTACTTCTATTGTTTGGCAACACGCCTCATTTTTCAGCGTTTTAACTCCTCAGCTTCTCAGTCTGTCTGCATGAAGAAAAGTGTGGATACATTTTTTTTTTGCATTACTTAAATTGACTTAATTTGTGCTTAAAAGCTACATATTTATTTACCGAACCAAATGTATTTCTTTATAAATAGATTATGAAATATGTGACCACTTTTTTTGGTATGGTTTATCGGCTGGTTTACATCAATGAGTCGAGAGAGCTGCCCGTTCACTTTTAGTCAGTGTTTTCTTTTTTTACACGGCAGAGACAAGAGCGAGACATCTTAGTTGGACTGAGTGAAAATCCTTTTAATACTTTTTACTCCACTGTTTCTGTCATTTGGTAGCTCCACCAACGAGGTGAAGAACCTGCTGCAGTCTCTGCCGAGGACCAGCGAGCCCAGAGAGTTGCTCTTCGAGGACCGGACCCGGGCCCACGCTGATCACATCGGGCAGGGCTTCGAGCGACAGACCACGGCAGCAGTGGGGGTGCTGAAGGCCGTGCGGGCCGGAGGAAGGTAGGAAGTGGAGCAACATGTGATCACACTGCTGGGGGCAGATGCTCAGTGTTTAAACGGCTTCCTCTCCAACAACTGTCCTGTAATCCCTCCCTCCCTCCCTCCCTTGTTCAGCTCGGAGCCTCCTCGTGTAACCAAAGACGTCGTGTGTTTCCACGCTGGAGATTTCCCTCAAGTAGTTCAGAGGCTGCAGCTGGACCTGTACGAGCCTCCGCTGTCTCAGGTTAGAATGACACACACACACACACACACACACACACACACACACACACACACACACACACACACACACACACACACACACACACACACACACACACACACACACACACACACACACACACACACACACACACACACACACACACACACACACACACACACCAAAAAAGCATAGTAATAAGCACTGCTCATCCATCAGACCCCCCCCCCCCCAATAGAGTAACTTCAAATATGTGTGAGTTTTTCCATACAAAAGCAGTTACTCACTAATACTTGGTTGGGTGTATTGTTCATTCATCTGTTGTATGCTGCCACATTGTGGTGAAAAACTGAACTGCAGTAAGATTTCTTTTGCAATAAAACACTTTCAATTGTTCCCATAAATTGTGTTTACTGGACTAAAAAAAGGTTTCGCAAGAAGGAAAAGTGTGGTCTGCCACAAGCGGGCGGCAGGAGCGGGGCTGTCAGCATCAGCTTGTAGATGGTATTTTAAACTCGATGCGCTCTGAAACTACGGGGCGGCCGAGGACAAAAAATACACATGCGTTAATCGCGTTAAAATAATTAGTGGCGTTAATTTTTTTTTGCGTTAACGCGTTATTAACGCGTTAACTTGACAGCCCTAGTATATATATATATATATCATATATATTGACAATAAAGTTGCCTCTGACTTAAACTCTGACTTAAACCCCTCTCTTCTCACAGTGTGTGCAGTGGGTGGATGATGCCAAACTGAACCAGCTGCGCAGGGAGGGCATTCACTACGCCCGCATCCACCTGAGCCACAACGACATCTACTTCATCCCTCGCAACGTGGTGCATCAGTTCAAGACCGTGTCGTCCGTCTGCAGCCTGGCATGGCACGTACGCTTAAGGAAATACCACCAGGGAGCAGGGGAGGAGGAGGAGGAGGAGGAAGAAGAGGAGGAGGAGGAAGAAGAGGAGGAGGAGGAGGAGGTGAAAGTAGAGGAGGAGCAGGTTGAGCCGAGGGAGAAGGAGAGGAAAAAAGTGGAGGAAAAAGAAGAGGAGAGGAGAAAAAAAAAGAGTGAGAAAGGAGTGAAGGTGAAGATAAAGAAGGAGGAAGAGGCGGCTGATGGGTTGGAGAACAGAGCGCTGCCAGCTGTGAGCAAACAGGAAGTGGCTCATCACCCCGCCCCCCTGCTGGACTCCAACATGAACAGAGACAAACGGCTGGAGAAGGAGAGGGGGAAAGAAGGAGGGAAACTCAAACGGCACGACTCGCCTCCTGGAAGGGTGAGAGCAGACCTTCCAGTGCCTCCTCTCTGCAAGAACAACTCACCTTCATCTCACCCTCCTCATCAGGACACCAAACCCAAAGCAGCATCATCAAAGCACCTTCATCACCACCCTCACCATCATCCCTCAGACAGCAGAGGCACGTCTTCCACTTCAAGGCCTTCAGCTCCTCAATCCCCCATCTCCAAGTCTTCCTCCTGTTTATCAGCTGTTACTCCTTCACACTCCTCCTCTCCCTCTCCTGCTCTCTCCTCCACTCCCTCTCCTGCTCTCTCCTCCACTCCCTCTCCTGCTCTCTCCTCCTCTCCCTCTCCTGCTCTCTCCTCCTCTCCCTCTCCTGCTCTCTCCTCCTCTTCCTCACCCCTGACTCCCAGACCTGCAGCGGTCTTCTCCAAACGTCCTCCCCCCGGCGTCTCCTCCACCCCCCGACTGCCTCCCTCCTCTCAGTCGGACAGGACAAAGACCGATGTGGCGTCAGAGCCCGGGAGGCGGGTGCAGCCGGGGGTCCGAGCCTCGCACGGCCCCCCCGCTGTGCACTCGCACTCCTCCAGAGGGGACACACACCCAGCCCCTCGAGACTCCCGCACACACCCCCTGCAGGAGAGATGGCCTCACAGTGCGGACTCTAGACTGTCTTCTGATCCTCACATGCACCCGCAGCAGTACACCCACCAGCACCTCCCCCCTCCTCCCCTCCCCCACATGCTCCCCCCGTCTTTCTCCCCTCTCCTGCCACCCTCACATCTCCCTCACAGAGGAGTCCGCCTCCCCCCGAATCCGCTCTCACAGCCGCTGAACTCGTATCAGAAAGCTCCGCCTCACATGAGCCGGCTCCACCTGCCCCCCCCTCACCCCCCACTCCCCCCCAACATCAGCATGCAGTCTCAGACATACTACCAGCCTCCTCTGCTCTCCGCCCCGTGTGGACCTCCCCTCCGCAGCTCCCAGTCTCTCCCCCCTCACCTTCCTCACCACCACCACCAGTATGCCAACACCTTCTTCCCCCCGCAGCATCCCCACTTCTCCCCTCACCCCTTCCCCCCCCCTCAGTCTTACCACTCTTACCCGCCACAATACCAGCCACAGTCTTATCCTCACCCGCCTCCTCCTCCTACGTCCTCGCCGCCTCCCCCTCCTCCGTCTCATCCGCCTCCCCCTCCCCCTCAGCCTTCCCCGGCTCTCCTCCTCCCCCCCTCACAGCACGGAGAGCAGCAAAAACAGGTTTAACAGTTAGTGTACATAAGGATGCTGTTTTGTATTTGTGTTGGGTGTGATGTTGATGAACAATGTAAAAAGGAAAACTGGTTCAGAACACGGAGTCGGACCTGGTTCTGGACTGCTTCAGATTGTACTGCCCCCATTGGGTCTCGTTGTTGCATTCATCAGCAGCTTTTGGCCTTCAGTCACGCTCCAGATTTGACTTTGAAGAAGATTTGATTCAGGAAGAAGTTCTCCGTGTCTGCCAAACTGCTTCCTGGTTCCGTTTTTTGAGCTGAGCCACCAGAGGTAGGAAGGAAAAGGTAAATGTCTGCTCTGACAGATTTTACATATTTATATGAACAAGGTCACGATGATGACCTTTTTGTGAATCTTGCAGCTAATGCTTCCAATTTTGTGGCTTTTTTTCTCGTATATGCTTTGTGCCCAAGACTGTTTCTGGAATATGATTCTTTTTAAAATTAGATCCAGTGTTGTACTGTTGATAAACAATCAACAGCTGATCAAATTGGTTGATGGAATATGATGACAAATGTTGGAGGACTTCAGTAGAGGTTTTAACCAAAGCAAATCAAAGTGAAGTATTCTGTTGTACCTGGAGCCCTCAGCAGCAGTGGCAGAGCTCTTAGTGCGGTTGTTTATTAGTTCTGGAAAAAGAACACTTACTGTTCAGCCAAGGATGAATTAGACCCTGCCTCCAGAGTCTCAGGAAAGCCATCCAGGACACATGCATACATATATTGGACTCCTAAAAACAACCCTAGCTACATTTGAGGGTTATTCAAATAAGAAATCATGACCTATGCAGCTACATTAAGAGCTTGCCATGAGTTAAAGCACACAGCATCTGGGTAACAGAAGGAGCAGAGCAGCATCAGATTCCCAGTGTACAGCACTTTGTATCATGGATACATCCGCTGTAGGGATGATTGGAGCTTCTAATTCTATCAGATGATCAACAGGATTCTTATGTAACTCATTCAGGCCTTTTATGAGACAATTGTTTTATTATTGATGGATGTATGAAGGTACACTGTTGAGAGGTCATTCCCAAAGCACTATTTATCTATTTAAATGAAGTTCAAATGTTTTATTTATCAACCCGGAACTGTTAAAAGTACAATAAATTATTAAAATGATGTTAAAGCAGCAGCTATAAATATGTGTCTTCAAGTGGTGAGCATCTCTTCTGTATCATTTCATTGTCAAAAACTTGATTATGTCTTGATTTGAGTGAGGATATTGGAGTTCAGCCCACATGCTAATGTAGCCCGCAACATTTCCCCAGTGCCTGTCCTGAACTGTGAACTATTTATGGCCCAGAGCCACACGGAGAAGGAGTTCTGTCCTTTCATGAGACTTCATGTCTGGGTGTTTCCCCTGTAGAATGAGAGCAAAGCCTTCAATTGCTCTCTAAGCGTTGCTGAAAACTCTCCAAATATCTGTGGTGTACTTTGGGATGAGTGGAAATGTGTGGCTCGGTGGGACCAACTCCGGGAAGCAGGGTTGTGTTTTTCAGGATTAGTGTCACCGCCAGTCTGGAAAATGTCTGAAAATGAAGCGTAAGCCTCCAGCTCTCTGGTCAGTTTGCCTTCAGAGACAGAACCCTCCACTCTGTGGCTCTGAGCGAGGTGATAGAACACCTTGATGCCAGTTCAAAGACTCTGCAGCTCTTTTTATGCTTTCTTATATTTCAAAAAATAACTGACAGAAACTATTATATTTTTTGTACAAATGTCACAAAATGATGGTTGAAAACAACACAAGTCTTCAAGGGCTGCAGTTGTTTCCAGATCATTTATTTATCTCAAGGTTTTTGTTGTTTTTTTCTATTTTGTTTACGTGATTTTTAACTGTCAGCACTGTAGTGTACATAAGAAGTTTTGTAAGGAAGAAAAACTTGTAGTGTGGTTTCTACTTTAAATATGAGCCTAGCTAATAAAAGGTTCAATGTATGGACAATGTTGGGGTGTTGAGTTGATGTCTCCTGTAGTGTGTTCTATATGTTTTAGTGCATGTTAATAGTCTGCAAAGGCTCAAATCCCTGTTCCCTCCAGAGGGAGTTTCTCTCCTGATTCCTCTAAAAAAGACATTACGGTTTACTTTTTTTAAATGTTTTTTGGGCGCTTTGTACACCACAATGAGGGACTTCTACTTGCATTATATTAAATTGAAGGCAGAACTATCCAAATATCACCAACACTCAGCATCTCACACCTCAACACAAGATTAATAGATTGCACTAAGAGGGGGGGAAATGATTTGGGGGTGAGAGACACCTGTTAGACATTTTAAAGGAAGCCTTAAGGTTATTTATAATTTAAAAATAGTAATACCTCCGCCTCTGTCTAATGTTCACCCAGCTGTGGTTTCTCTTGTGTTGTTGTTGCCTCCCACTCTGAAATAACCACAGCAGCTTCACAGGTCCAGATTTGAGCAGACATTTTGTACACAGCACAATGCAGAAGCCCTGTAATTCGGGACTGGTGTGTGTCAGGTCACATGTGACTCAAAACTGCCTTTTTCCCCCTCTTTTCATCCTTTCATGCACTCTCACACACACACACCAGGAATGCCAGAGGAGCTCAGCTGACCTTTACAGAGTGGGAGTGAGGCAGGAAGTTGGAGCAGAGAGACAAAGACTTTTGGAGGGAATTCTCGGAAAAGCTCAATGAAACACAGACTGAGCACACTGCTGCCTCTTACAGTGCCATGGTGCTAATTATCTAGAAACAGTACTTTTCATAGTTAAGTTGAAAATAAATAGGGGTACACTTTGTTTCCTAGCCCTAAAACACTCAATACTGGAAGTACAAAAGTCCTTCCATAAGGAAAGTAATAGCACAACAATGTAAAAAAGCTGATGAGAAATCCCTACTTCAGTGTATCTGTACCAAAAGTACCAGGAGTTCTGATGTAATACTACATCATGAGTATTTTTAATAGTTTTTGTAACAGTTTTCATTCCTTTATAAATATTTAGACAGTCGCCAGTAGTAATTGTACCTGTGACATATAGTAAAAAGCAAATATTAATATAGAGAAATTATAATATAGACAGAGTAAAAACAAAATATTTGACTTTGATTGGTGGAGTAAACACTCAACTAAAGCACAAATACCAAAACAAAAAAAGTAACAGAGTAAATGTACTTATTTGACTTCACCACTGCATATATGAGATGTTGTGGTGCAGACTGGTGTATATTTACAGCAGCTACCTGTAATGATGTGAGGCTCAGCTAGCTCCGCCACATTAAGCTGTGTTACGCCTCAGTGCTTTCTGCTGCTGCTGGTCATGTGGGGACAGCTACAGCCAACAGGAACATCCATCTCACACTCTGTCCCACAGGTCCTGAAAATATGTGAATTTGAAGGGGGAAAGATTGGACCATTCTTTCTTTTTTAATTGTTAATAGTTTGTGCCATAATAGAAATCCCAGAACGTATTGATTAACATTCCTAACCACAATACTTTGTTTTAATTTGTTGTAACTTACTTTATGCTTCTGAGTGTGTATGTGTACACAATGTTGTATTTGTATGACAATCTGAGGAAAATATCCACAACTTAATATTCAGGATTGGTTTATTTTTTTACAAGACGTGCAACAATCATGAAATACTTTTGCTCGTACGACAACTCGTCCCCTTAATGTTAACAAAGTGCAAAATAACGCAAAGAATGTATTTGAAATATTCATAGAAAACGATATGGCACAATACAAATGTCACTCATAGCCGTACAAGAATAACTGACATTTGAAACTGGAAGAAAGCATTCTGACGCATGTTCAAACCCTAATAATTCAACTTCATATACAGTGGGAACATGATATTTATCATTATACATGTCATGGAGTTTTCCCCAGCGACTTTGGACCTTGTACCTACAGTAATAACAGCTTACTGATTTCCAATGGGGCTTATGATGATTTACATGGTACAAAAGAGACATTGAACAGAGCAGAGGGCAGCCTGTGGAAAAATCACGAGTTGTTCCAAGATAGTTTTATATCCTGCAATTTCCTTATGTGATTGCAGCCAAAGCAGGCTGCTGTCAGGATCACTTATAAAGTACATTTATCAAATAAAATATGGCTGACTAGTACTCTGCATAGCCCAGAGATGAAAGGAAAGAGTGTGTGTGAGTATAGACAGTATGTAAAGCATACATAGCTAAATGTACATCCAATGATTGGTAACAAAACTGATCAGCATGCAGCTGAATAAAGAAGGGGAAGACAAAGCGAAAAACAGTTTGCTTCCTCCAGATGTGCAAGCTTATCTACATTGAAAACTATTCAGGAAAACGAACTGAAAATGTTGAGTTCTAAACAAAAATGACATGTTTACGTTTCTTCCAGTGTAGATTTCACAGTAGTCTTATAATACATTTACAGTTCATCCCATTGTGGCATTTCTGTTCCATGCTGAAGTCATCACAGGCTACTCCACTGAGGTCTGAACACCCCATGATTTAAATGTTTAACACAGTGTCTGTTTTGTTTGGATGAATACTGATATCTGAAATAATGATTTTATTCCTTCTTGAGTCTTAGTCCTCTCTGGAAACATAATCAGGACAAAACAAAAGTTCATATTTCACTTTATCTTGGTCATACAAACACAAATCTATTCACAATGTGTTTTTTTTTAAGTTCCTTCTAGGCCTCTCTCCTCTCAGGGAAGATGTTCAGCCCCAGCTCCACCAGCGCCCCCAGTAACATGGTCCACAGCGGGATACACACAAACGTCAGCTTCACGTCGGCCAGCTTCTCCAGCTTGGCGCACAGCGTCAGGCAGAAGCCCAGCTTCAGCAGCATGGCCGTCAGGTACCAGGCCCGCAGGCGCAGGTCGGGGGAGCCGTTGCGGGGGTCGTACCCGGGCTTGCAGCGGCCCGCCATCTTTATGGCAAGCATGAGGATGAGGATGCCATCAAATACCCAGACCGGGAGGAAGATGATGAACCAGTTCCACTGCACCTGGAGGGAAGAGAGGGAAAAGATCAAGTCGGTGACATCATCCAGGTTCATTCCCTATCTATGTCAGTGTGCCAGGTCCAATTGTAGCTGAAGTGGAAAGATATGAATACTGACGATGATATGAGATAGAACAACAAAACCCACTCTAACTGAAACTGCAAAAAGAGGAGACTTTTTATTAATAGAATAATAACCTTACCTTCCCGTCCAGTTTCAGTACCAGCATGATGAGGAAGACCAGGGTAAAGACCCAGGTCAATAGAACCCTCTGAGCCAGAGACATCTCACTGCCTGGACACCGAGAAGGAAACAGACAGACAATAATAATGATCAACGTTTGCTCTATACATGCAGTATTTTTGCAACAATAACGACGTATAAGAATAGACAGCCATGTTGGACTTGCTATTCATGGCTATTTCAAATGTACTATTGTCAACCACATCAAACAACATGTACCTAATAATAGCTATATCTAATTATACAATAATGATGTTCATTGATCCTTAGTTAGCTTACAAATGACAGCTAGCTTTTATAGCCCAATAGCATTAAGCTAACCGGTTGTTGTTTTATTTAAGACAACGTCTGACTTACTTCAGCGTGTATCTACATCGGTAGCCGGGATTGTCGTCTTCCTGTAGGGCAGACACAAAAACTCATAACGTTTCTGATAATAATTCACATATTTATCAACAGACGTGCACGTTAACTGCAGCAGACGGAGGGATTTTTGGGTCCGTTATCTGTGTTTGTCCCGCCCATCCTGGAAGCCAATTGGTCCTGGTTCCGTTACGTCACGTTTGTTTCACGTCCATTATTCTGAAGTCCAACCGTAATTATTTTTGAAAAGGCGCAAATTCGTTGTTATATTTCCTGTAGTGAGTTTAACGGCCACGAGAGGCTGGTAGAGTTCTTTCTATTTAATTTTGAGTTTGTGTATATATGCGGTTTTCACTATCACTACATAAAACAGCGATATTTTGCTGAGGTATTTGGTTGCTTTGTGGTTAATTTGCTCGTTGCAGTGGCATGTTAGCCCGTTTTTCTACATTCTTGTCTTCGCTTATCGCCTGCGGCGGTTTAAAATGTAATGGCGCGTGTACACAGTGGTTTACGGGCAGGAGCTGAAGTTGTATTTTTACAGTGAGAGGCTGAAAGGAAAAAGCTAATGCTTCAAACATCGCGGAGCAGAGTCTGAGCATCTCTTCCAGACAAGTGGACCAGGCTGGATAGCAAAGTGTAGTAATACATTATAGTTTGTGTCTTTGCGGGGACTCGGAGCTGTCTGAAAGGTAAGACTGAGCGGCTGCATGTTGTGTTAGGAAACCATTAATCAGGCTTCAGTATTGTCCAGCTGTGTGAGCTCTTTGTGCCGCCGGTAGCATAACGCTAGCTAGCCAGGCTGAAGCTAGCAGCAGGAGAAGATATAAGACTGTCTGAAAACACCGTGTCTGCATCTACACAGAGCTAGCTACAACATTAGCTGCCTTTTAGAATAATTCATGGCGATGCAGAAACATGTCCTTTTTAGGAGTGAATACACAGTGTAACGTTGCTTTGGTGTTACGTTACTTAAAGACTGTAACGTTACTGACTATAACGTTAATTGACACTCATGTACTTAAAACCATTATATTTAGCCTCACCTAATCTCCACTTAAATTCTACTAAAGCTGCAACGTATGTGTTCATAAAACAACATGAATGAGGATATGTACTGCCTCTGTTAAACACTGTATTGGGTTCTTTCAAGGTAATCCTCTGAGGTCACTGCTAAAACTATTCCAAACATTGAGTGGTAGGAATATGCCTTACAACGAATCAACCACCAGGCTGTAAGAACTTGCATCCTTGCATTTTGCAAAAATCCTCAATCTTTAAAGTGTTTGGGTATTTTTTCATTGCTCATTGGATGTTAAAAGTCCTATTTATACTTTATTTCATTAGATGTTGTCCCACCCGTGTGCCTCCACATCTGCTCTTCTCTACTCTTGTATTCTATTTTATAGCCTGTGTTGGTTTTCTCCGCCTCTCCTGTGTCCCTGGGGAATCGGTGAAAGTTTCTCAGTTTGGCAGGTCATCTGATTATCCAACATGATTTGCCATGCAGCCAGCCTGTCTGATGCAGTCTGCCTAACGCTGTCATCACTCACCCAGATTTTCCACCGCAGTCATAATTTGACCCCTAAAATAACCTTCCATTCCGGCAGAGTCCTGTACGCAAACATTGATGTTTGTTGCTTTGTAACAATGAGACAACCCTTATTTAAAGTGGACCTATCATGCTATATTTGAATAATATAGTGTAGGACCATACCTATATAAGGCATATTTATACTTTTTCTTTTCAAAATACCAAACAGATCATGCATTTTAGCCATGCCTCATTTCGCTCAATTTGCACTTTTTTTTTAACTCTACTCTGACGTCAGGACAGTGTTCAAATCTGGATCAGTTTTTATCAGATCCGTTGCAGCCCCTTTTTTAGAGATTTGGGTATGTAGGAAAATAGAGAGGGTTGTGTTTTCTGACACTTGGTGAGTTCCCTGGAACACCGGGGACACATATTCATGTATAAAAGACGTGCATTTTGCATGATAGGTTTCCTTTAAAGGGGACCTATCATGCTATATTTAAATGATATATTGTAGGGCCATACCTATATAAGGTATATTTATGTTTCTGTTTTCGAAATACCAAACAGATCATGCATTTTAGCCATGCCTCATTTCGCTCTGTGTTGTTTGCTGTCTACGTGTCTGATTTTGTGAGCTGCAGCTGACCACGCCCCCCTGCAGGAGAGGGGAGCCGCTCTGATCAGCTGCTGGGCTGTCAGAAGAGGGGGAGAAAAAGAGATCTCCGTCCTCCGTGTTTTATTATAGCCTATATAGAGTCGTTATTCATTTGTTTTAAAGCTCAATAAATAACAAAGAAGACCTTTGACCGGCACTTTTCTAATTTTGTCCGGAAGATTTAAACTTTAACGGACATCTTGACCGGCGAAAGAAACTGAAACTGAAACTCTGCCGCACGGTCCCCTCGTTCCTTGGAAGAGGCGGAGAGGTGGGTGTTTGTCATCTGCTGGTGGACTAACCGGAGAGAATTACAGTGCTTGCCTCGATGGGGAGGGATTGCATTGAATTAAAGCAGCAGAAGGAGCAAACGCTTGCCTCGGGGAGGGAGAAAGAAAGCCACAGCGGAGAATAAACAGAAGGGTAACCATGGTAACCAAGTCTTCTTCGCTGCTTTTGTGGCAGACTACAGCGCCACTTACAGGCCTGGCATATGTACTACAGCGTCTCCAGCGCTTTCGAGCGGCAATGGCCGGCCGTGGCCCAACCCCACATTCCCCTGATAGGTGGAGAGTTGGCCCAATAGCCGTAGAGCCACTTTCCTGACGTCAGTAAAGTGTTCAAATCTGGATCAGTTTTTATCAGATCCGTTGCAGCCCCTTTTTTAGAGATTTGGGTATGGAGGAAAATAGAGAGGGTTGTGTTTTCTGACACTTGGTGAGTTCCCTGGAACACCGGGGACACGTATTCATGTATAAAAGACGTACAAAAGTGCATTTTGCATGATAGGTCCCCTTTAATTTATGCTGAATCCTTTGGGAACCACATGTATTTTACGCAACTTTATTCCAGGACACGTTTATAATGTCAGATCATTCAGGTGTCATATTCCTTGAGCAAAGATCTTCAGTATAGTTCAGTAGCAAACAGCAGGAAGCTGTGTTTTCACTTTGCAAACAGGCAGTGTGTTTGTTACTGGTTGGAAGATGAGCGCTAAAATCATTGTTGGTCCATATTGCGTGTTTAGAAGAGCGGCAGTGTGTTACACCCAGAGGACGTCTTACAGGATTCCTGGAACACTCCTGACATGCACCTGCATGAACACACACTTAAAGACTACACAGTCTTTGAGGCATTGATTGAAGGATTGATAGTTAGGCCAGTAGTACTTGTCAGTCACCGTGTGTGTGTTCGTGTAACTCTAGCATCTATACACCCAGACTGCTGTCTATTGTCTGACCAGCGTGTTCTCTTTGTCTGCCTCTTTGTTTTACACTTTTTCTCGTTATTGACTCTCACACACTCTTCAGTCTGTCTCTGTGACGATGATGCTGTGTATTGTGCTGCTTCAATCTGCCTGCAGGGCTGGTTACATCATTAGCTGCAATGTAGTTACATCACAACTCTAGACTGCCATATCATCTTTATGTTTCATCAACTGCAGACTGGCCTGCAGCGCAGCGATACACCTCGCAGACATACAGCCATTGCAGTAAAGAGCAGCAAGGTCAGAGGGTTCACTCTGCAGTAGAGGGACACATTATGTTAATGATAAAGAGGAAAGTGTTAAGGCCCTGACACACCAGGCAGTCACCAGAGAACTCGCCGACACCGACAGTTCCATCGACGAGTTCTCCTGCGTCTTGGCCGTGTGTCGCACTGGAAATCACCGCAAAGACTTCAGCCGAGCACGTACGAATTGCGCATGCGTGAGTGGCAATAACTCTCCTTACCAGCAGGCGGCGGTCGTGTGTATTCGTCATTCAAAATAGGCAACAACCGGAAGACAGAGAAGAAGAACAGACCGATATAAACAAACAAATAGCGTGTGCGTTCCATTTTCACTCTCGTCCATCGAAAACATGTTTTAGAATATAAAAATACATGAATGATGAAATGAGCACATAAAGTGCAGACATACTATAAAATCACAGTTAATAGACCTGCATCTGATGATCGCAGTGTTCTGGCGGGTGTGTAGTTTATTGAGTCAGCAATGTAATAATGGCCACTTCTTGCTAAATTTACGATGAGATGAAAAACCGGACTTGACCAAACAAATCACGGAGCTCTCAGCAGAGGACAGCCGGGGACGCTCCCGCCGATATCAGAGATGTTTGATGTCTTTAAGTATCACCTGCTGGTGTTTAGCTGCTGTCCTGTGCCTTAAATCGTTTGTTTACGTCCCTCACTTCCGTTTCGCTTCTCATTTGCTATTCTTGGCCCGATAGCTTGTGTCCGACCGTGAAAGGCCAAATAAGGCGTGTCACGGCCGAGGGTTCGGGACACACCAAATTGACTTTGGGCGACAAGGAACGCGTTGTTGCCAGACAACCCAAGACGGCCGATATCGGCCTGGTGTGTAGGGGCCTTTAGGATGAGCCATTGCTGCTCAGGATGGGGATTCTACAGCAGGTGCATGTTGACTCTGGACCCTATCAGGCTTCTGTTAAATGCTGCAATGTGTTTTGATGAAGCCAATCATTTGTATTATTTTATGGAAATAGGCCTTTTTTACAGAACACATTTAGCCAGGAAAGAGGAAATGGGAACGGTGTGAATCATACCATTAATAATGAGGGAATTGCTTCTGATTAGTGTGCATGCTGGCTCAGTGATGTAGCTTTGCTCTCCTGCACACTTGAATAGAACCGAGCATGGTCAATGGTATTAGTCACACCTGTGTGAATAATTATGGTGTAATTTGTCCCGCCCTATCAAGTGTAATGAAGCTCACAGGAACGTGACCAATATGTCAATCAAACGCAGTCTGTCCACGCCAACCCACAGCCTGATCTAATCAGCAGAATAATTCCAATCACCTGTGCAGGCCTTTAAGTCTTTGAACTAAAGGGGCGTTGATGAGAGTAAAACATTCCAAATCAGCCATCGGGTTTTCCCTCAAAGTTTTCTTTTTTTAAGATGATATCAACCACCATCAATACAACTTGAATGTTGTATGCATTGAAACCACAAAGCTATCTG